AAGACCCGTCATCTCCAAAAAGATACATTTTGGCAAGCTTCTGACATGATCAAGTTTCGCTCTGTCACTTTTGCAACAATGTTTAAAACTGGGAAGTGGTTAAAATTTTAAAAGTGATGCATGAGATCACATTTTGTTTGCTGTTTTCTCCTCGGGATGTTGAGTAGGTAATTTAAAACATGGAAATAAAATATGTGATCAAATCCATCATAAGTCAGATTAATACGTCAAAGATAAAAATTCCAAAAGCCATCTAAAGCTGCATGGCTTCAACCGGGTTTCCCAGCGACTTCTCTCTCTCTCTCCCAGCGACTTATTAACAGCTTATCATCTCAGATCGATCATGTAACACAACTCATCACAGTAAATGTCACATCACCACAGCATTTAGAGGCGGACTGGTTTTGGTGATGATCTCAGACACTCTGCCATACATCATACAGACACTTTATTATTATGTGTACATATTATAACAGACACTTTATTATTATTATGTGTACACATTATAACAGACACTTTATTATTATTATGTGTACATATTACAGACACTTTATTATTATGTGTACATATTACAGACACTTTATTATTACTAGCAGGAACCCGTATAACCCTAAAATGGTGTCAAGACTCAAGAGACTAAAATAATTATTACCTATTTTATTCGCGTTTTTGACACCACTTGGGGGTCCAAATTTTGGGCTCTAAAACTCCTATTCCTTGGCCAATTTTTTATTTTTTCATGCTGATTTGAAAAGCATAAAAGCATTTGACCCAGTCAAAAAAGTTTCAGTTGTATATCTTTTACGGTTTTTGCGGAAAGTCGCATTAAAGTTGATTCCGTGGTGTCAGTAAAATGGCACAGATATATATATATATATCGTCTCGCTTTATATATAGTAAACAGACACTTTATTATTATGTGTACATATTATAACAGACACTTTATTATTATTATGTGTACATATTATAACAGACACTTTATTATTATTATGTGTACATATTACAGGCACTTTATCATTATTATGTGTACATATTTAAAATTGTCCTTTAATTAAGATACTTTATTTATACCATCACTAAAAACCAACGGTAGTAGGACTTTAACTAAATTAACATGACAACTATTCGGATAACTTTATTATTATTTGTATTGAAGAACTTGCAAATACCGTTTATACGGCTCCCGCTTCCAAAACCAGCAGGTATCTAAAATGCATCTGGAATCTGGATATATCATAACGCATTTAGATGTCTACATAACTGCAGGTATATCTATCTGTCAAGCTACAAACTCAACAACAATAACACAGTCTGGACAATAATATCGAGTCTGAGCACTAAACCCGAGTATTTCAGTATAATATCCGTTTTGATCCGTAAAGGCATAATCCACAATTTAACACCAGCGTTCTCTTAATACGCTTACCTTACTACTTAGATGTTTCAGAATCCATGTAGAAAACAGTGTGTGTGTGTGTGATGCCTTTATATGGAGGGTCACGTGGTATGTGATGCCCTTATATGGAGGGTCACGTGGTATGTGATGCCCTTATATGGAGCGTATGCAGTACTGGTTGGCAACCAATATGATAATGTGCCAGACTGCCAGTAAGAGCCTCATTATTGAGTTTTAACTTTTCATCGTATCTAGAACTCTAAGTATCTGCAAATTGAGTGTTTTTCTTGTATCATAAATGATCGTGTCTGGTCGATAAACCAACTAACCAATTATAGTGGTCACTTCCTGTCTGATCCACTAACTATCATAATATCACGTGACATCACTGTGGAAATACTTGAGAATAATAATACCTGAGAAGCTATGTCAGGACCACTGTTCAGTGATCCACTTCCATTTAATTCAGATCTTCATTATACATTATATTATGTTATATATTATATTATGTTATATATGCGTTTTAATATTTCAGAAGGGAATCTGATATTACTTTAAAAGATAAATAAATTGAGTCAGTGCACCGGTACAACACCAGCTCTGAGACATTCGCGTGGAGTTGATGAACCGTCTCAAGTCAGCCTGTGTTCAAAACAGCACGCTTTTCAGAACCCAAACTACCACCTGACCCACGTGACACAAACCCACCAATCAGAGCACAGCACAGTATTGTGATCAACCAATCAGAGGACAGTATTGTTCACCATGTGCCAGAAGGGGGAACCAGCGACGACAGAGCTAGTCGTTAGTACAGGAACTGATGTGAGACTAGATTATATAATGTTACAATGTTACTGATTGTCTCAGTCATTATGAAGTTGTATCAGTCCGGGTAACAGCTGCTTCTTCTTCCATGACCATGTACTACTACTTGGGGATGAATCCTCCAAACCCCGGAGAAACTATGAACCGTATTACAAAATAAAAAGAGTAAAAAGTAACTGTGTTTCAGCAGGCTTTCAGAGCCCTTGTCCTAGCTGGTAACAAGGTCATTAGGAGTCCGACATGAAAACATGGTGTATTACAAGTATTTGATACGGGTTGTGTGTTTATAACTTAATTTACAGCACTCAAAATGAAGATGAAAGTGAATTATCCAGCTGTAAAATGTAAATTTAGATCACGTCTTGAGCCACTAGATGAGAAACACCGTGTTTTACGTTTAAACATTCCGACAGGAGGGAATAGTTTTAAATTTGGGAGTTTTGAGTGAAAACGATTATTCACTGATCCCCCTCCTGATCACCCATGAGACCAACTTTCCATGAGTTGTATTTCTCACAGTTCCACCTGAGGATATCTCTAATGCACAGCTTAGCTTATTAGTTCTGTGTGGGAGAGTCATTTGATGAACTGTAACAATGAGTGACACCTTTAACAAAGCTTGTAGTAACAACTTCCCTGCGGAGAGTGACACCTTGTGAGAGAGAGTGTATTCAGAGAGAGTGTCTCCAGAGCTACTCTTAAATCCACACCTTTACAACACCTCCCTCGCAGCTTAATACCTTGACACAGCTTATATCATACTATTATAGAGTATTGCACCATTGTACCTACAACACTTCCACCTTCCAATCTTTACAGTATGTTCACTATATAAATACACTATATAATACCCATATTCTAATGCATTAAAGCGCGGCGCCCATGCATCATAATACACTGAATGGAGTTGGGTTAGAAACATATAAGAGATACGATGGTTTAACTTGTAGAAGCTTTCAATAAACATGTGTTAATCGTCGTCAGCTCACAATACACTATTCTGCGGCGCCCATGCATCACAATACACTATTCTGCAACTTCATATCATTATAATATTCACCATTATATCTCTACCACTATTAAGTTGGGTCGCCGAGCGAATCTTCCCCCTAATTTGATCTGGAATGCAGCGGAGCGAACTTTAATGCCGCTTAGATTGAATCAGAGGGGAACGATTTTACAAATTGTTAAACATGAGATTAGTTGTATCCAGCGTCGAATTCGCGTTAAATAAGCTAAAGAGGGTAAATACGCGAGAAGTAACTAGGTGAGGCTGAGCATCTAGGGGAACTGACAACCAATTTAAGACAGTTTAACTCATATTTCAAGAAGATTTTCAACACTTAATAGTATCTCTGCGCACTAATATAAATGGTTACATTTACATTTTAATGAAAACGGTTTAGTTACATAATATCAAGTTGACCGCGAATGATAATGCTACATATACGATAATATATGATAATACGGGAGTGTTATTTTACGAGAAGTTACTTTATGTCTGTGATTTTAAGGAATGTGGTGGTTAACCCAAAATCTCTGTGAAGCTATTGTGAAAGCAGTTTGGTGGTTGTATAGCTCTGTGAAGCTATTGTGGAAGCAGTTTGGTGGTTGTATATCTCTGTGAAGCTATTGTGAAAGCAGTTTGGTGGTTGTATATCTCTGTGAAGCTATTGTGAAAGCAGTTTGGTGGTTGTATAGCTCTGTGAAGCTATTGTGGAAGCAGTTTGGTGGTTGTATATCTCTGTGAAGCTATTGTGGAAGCAGTTTGGTGGTTGTATAGCTCTGTGAAGCTATTCTGGAAGCAGTTTGGTGGTTGTATAGCTCTGTGAAGCTATTGTGGAAGCAGTTTGGTGGTTGTATAGCTCGGTGAAGCTATTGTGGAAGCAGTTTGGTGGTTGTATAGCTCGGTGAAGCTATTGTGGAAGCAGTTTGATGGTTGTATAGCTCTGTGAAGCTATTCTGGAAGCAGTTTGGTGGTTGTATAGCTCTGTGAAGCTATTGTGGAAGCAGTTTGGTGTTAATTTCAGCAAATGACAAAGTACCCAACTTTAGCGTGGTCTGCCGAACACGGTCAGTTAGTTGCCCTCTTGATAACAATCTTACTGCTTAGCAACGTTAATATCATAAAATTACTTTGCAAAATGGGGTCCCTAACTAAATCCATAATTATATTGCACAGTAATCTAAGACTGTTAATAGATGGAGGGCTGAGATTGCAATTCCAATAATTGAATAATAAAGGTCTCCACTCAGCACCCATTTAATGAATATTCGAGAGAGATCAGTGCGAGAAGTCGTCTAAGAAGTCGGCGTAAAACCGTAACAATTTATCAATTAGTGTCCGTGACCAAGTCCAATTCTAATTGCAGTTCCTAATGGTGTTACTGAACGGTATTTACCCGTCATCACATACTTTACGTTATTTCCGATACAAAGTAGACGAAATGTAGCAGATCAGTGAAAGTGAGGTCATGTCCAGAGGCAACGTAGACGAAATGTAGCAGAGATGATCTGCGAGGTAATCTCCAGATGAGCCTGGGTCTAGGCTACTAGAGTAGGTTACTACAGGGTAGGTTAGTGACGTGCTCTTCAGCAGCCACTTAGCTAGGCTACAATACCTACAGAGGACCTGTGTGTTCATCACGTCATCTTGGGTATGTGTAACTTGCACGGAAACTGCATCCCGGGTACTCAAATGTATGAGTAAGACAGCAGAGTAGGATAAGACAGATAACAAGACAGATAACTAGAATAAGAGAGAGTACTTAGTACTTACCATCTTTTAGTTTCAGGTAGGTTGTTGAAGAGCGAGGATTTGCTGGGCAGATTCCCAAACCGTCATTACTATGTGCACTGTACGATAGGTCAGATATCTGAAAAAAAAGGTTCATTTTCTCAACTGCTTAAAATAAACATGAAATAAATCTAAGACATGCCGAAGCCCATGGGGGCCCTGGAACCTGGATATCATGATTCATTTCGCACAGATCAATTATAGGCGTTTGGCCGTTATAATTCAGTGCGACTCTGATATGTAATATTTTCAGAGTCGCACTGAATTATGTTAGAGTTTTAGCAAAATATAGGTTCTTGATACCTTAAACAAAGTTAAAAAGAGCTTCAATTGGACATACTCTTCGAAAGTAACGAGACTAAAGTCGCTATCATAATAAGATTTCCGCCGTAGTTAATCATCATACATTGTGTCTAATTGAAGTTGTAAATTGTGTCTAATTGAAGTTGTAAAAGTATGTGAATATCGTGCGCATGGTTTAGCTCAGATAATGGCGTGAAGTTTGTAAATGTGGCAGTGAAAACATAGAATTTGGTATTAATGTAGCTGAATGGTTTACAATTTAACACGATACAAATTTCGTAAAACAAACCATTAGCATGAAATATGTACATTCTGCTTAATTCATTTTGACATATATCTTGAATAAGGGGATGTACCTGACACTGTCACAATGTGATCACCAGTACAGCTAATATGCTTGTCAGTTTGTTTTAAAAAACAAGGTGTAAAATATAAAATGTAAGGCGCCTGTTTACAGATTTTACAGATATGGTTGTGACATCATGTCATGTGATGACGTCACGTTATGACACACGTTACACTGTTGCCATGTAAAATTCTAAAAGGCCACCCACTCCGACCCACATATTTACATATTAGGTAAGAGACGATAATAACCCTACCACTATAATATTACCTCCGACTTACCTCCAAAAGTAAATACACTACTATTATAATTATATTACACTTAACTATAACTTATATTATACTTAACTACTCCCTCTGTGTATTATACTATTACTTTTTCCAGGGTTAGTGTTGAGTGGGACTAATTAAAGATCCCTCCCTCCCTGGTGAGTAGCGTGGAATACTTGGGAAAATGATAAACATCTCTGTATAAAGTGTAAACGAATCTATTATTATCATGCTGAAAGTGAAGGTAATTGATATTTGCACCAGTGCGCATGTCTTGCCTAAAGTGCGCAGGACTTGCCTCTGAGTTTGCATGTCTGAGTGTACCTGAACCGTGAGGTTCTGAGATAGTAATGTTAAATCTGATTAGCATAAATTATGGTCCTAGAAATATGGCTTCCCTGAAGTTATTATTTGTAGCTTTGTAGGCTGAGAAATTATATGAGGTTTATGTAATGATATGACGTCATCCTTGCTATTTTGTACATTACATGAGATCTAATCAAGAATTCTCATAGTACTTGAGTACTATCAATCAGAGGCTGCTGTGTAATTGTTATAAAAGTAACGAATTTGTATCAATTTTGTGAGCTCTCTAAATCGTGATTCTGATACTATTGAAAAGCGACTACCAGGATATTGCCCCGGTAAAGTCACACCTGCAAAATATTCCAAAAATGTAGCTCATTCTGTAATTTTCGGTCCAGTTTAAAAGCTTTTTAAAAAATAACCGATAAAATTGAACGTGTCCGCAAAACCCACAGTCTCTCTCTGTAGCTCGTAATTACACCACATCTTACATCATGTCATAACCTTGCATACCCCGGCATACCACCAATATGATCATAAGAAGCCTTTAAACAGTTGTACAATAAACACTGCGTTACCCTTGAGTGTGGTACCCTTGAGTGTGGTACCCTTGAGTGTGATACCCTTGAGTGTGGTACTCTTGAGTGTGGTAACCTTGAGTGTGGTAACCTTGAGTGTGGTAACCTTGAGTGTGGTAACCTTGAGTGTGGTAACCTTGAGTGTGGTAACCTTGAGTGTGGTAACCTTGAGTGTGGTAACCTTGAGTGTGGTAACCTTGAGTGTGGTACCCTTGAGTGTGGTAACCTTGAGTGTGGTAACCTTGAGTGTGGTAACCTTCAGTGTGGTAAACTTGAGTGTGGTACCATTTTGGTGAGAGGCACCTGACTCACACCACCAGTACAATTTCTAGGGAAGACGATCAGAGCTCTAACTCTAATTAGTCAGTGTAATAAGCGATAAGCTTTGGCACAACATTTTTTGTCTCCGAATTTGATAAATTTGGTACCGAAAGATGCCTCAAAGTGTGAATTACACAAATCCTCATAATTCCAGACAATTTTTGGGTTCAAATTTATCAAAATTGGAGAAAAACATTAGTGCACCACCTCCTGGCGTTTATAATATCTGTAACGTGCACCATTTATATGACCACGTTAAATGAGGGACACAGTGTTAGTTCCTGTATAGTGTACACTTACAGCAGGTGTAGTGGACAGTGTGTGGGAGGGGACAGGGGAGTAATTCAATCGACCTTAAAACACGCAGAGTACACCAAAAAGACGCAAATTTCTATCAAGATCATCCAGACAGGGCCGGGTTAGGTCAGCTTCCCGATCACGTGAGAGTAACCATGGTCACGTGACAGTAACCAGCCAATTGCAGGGAGGACTTCAACAAGATGTTATATGCAGGAAGTGTACGGGTATGTTCAATACATTAGGGTTATTAGGGGCTTAATGTTTTGAGGGTACGTTACTTAATACTTCTGAGAGTTGAAATCGGAGAGCTAAGACTTAAATACTTACTTTAAGTACTTTTAAAACTTAAGTATAATGAGATATTTACAGCCCGGTTGTTAAACTGTTTTAATTAGTTAGGGCAAGAATAGAAATTTATGGGACCACCTGTGAATAAGTCCACAACAAAGGTTTCTCTACAGGAATGTGCTGTCCATAGTCCCAGGAACTACCGCTACCAAAAAATGGTAAGACTGAAACTGACGGCGAAAACTTCCTAGACCAATTTGTTTCGAATTTATTCACAGACTATGCTATTCTTGCCTCAACTTATTGTTTAATTTCAATTACTTAATTTTAATTAATTAGTAATTAATTACTTACAGTTCTGACCCCACAAACAGGGCTGAAGGCGCTTGTTCCACAGATGAACAGGTCAGCTTTATTTAGCTGCAAGATAACTTTATAATAGTTCTGACAGTCGTCAACTTGTTGTCCAAGTCTCTTGATACAATCTTCCAGCCCCACTGGCTCAAACTGAGAGGAAACAATTTTTAGAGAAACAAATGTTTATAATGAAATAAACGAAAAATACAATCAAAATTCAATATCGTGTTTCACTTTACATGAGTACAAAGGTAATACAGGTTTTCATGAAATAGAAAAAATTATTAATGTTGACATAAGGCCCCTGCCCCCTATAGAAAGTTATAAAATTCAAAATACTGGCAATGAAGATAATAATTTAATAAGAACAATAACCAAAGTCTCACCCTGTCTTCATGCTTCGTAGATATTTCTTCCGAGAATTCAATCTCATAAATGCTGTTTCTGAAATGATATACAAGTAATTAAACGTAAGGCAGTACACATTCCAATTTTAAGGTTGAATTGACCATTCATGGCAGACACAATACGAGGGATTAATCACAATTTTATTAATTTATAATTCAGTAATTATCAATGTAGATTATTAAATAAGTAATCAATTAATCAAAATCTCCCACGTACCTTGCACCAATTAGAACCTTTGATTCAAAGGATATCATAGACGAAAAATTCGTTTCTGTTGTATACACAACGCACTTTGGACAATCTGCCGAAGTAATATGATCACAATTTTACATAACATTTTAATTCAACATATTTCCATAAAATCAAAACTCAATGCTGATTCACTTGGTCGTGCTAGGAGGGTTTTGTGCACTTTGTAACACAAACCCAGAGATGTGTTGTCATGTATAACAATGAATCCCATGTAATGAGCTGCTAACAGATAAGACCCGAATAAGAGGGTGCCCGTCTCTCCCTCTCTCTCTCTCTCTTTGAACAGCTTCAAATCAAATTACATTGCAAAGCAGACAATAGCTAATAGGATGATAAGGTGATGTCCACGTGACTTATAAGTGATGATTGTCCAATGAAATTCGAGCATTCGTGACATGTGTAACTGGATATGGTTTAACAAGTGACTACAGGCCAATTGCAGGCTGACCTGTTCTTCAAGGAATACAGAATCAAAAATAAAAAGATAACACACTTTGAAGGCGTGCGAGAAATGAAATTCTCACGTTTGTTTGTACCGCTTAATTAGAGCAAGTATCAATAAAGATATCAGTTGTACTGAGTACTAAGCCCTACCTTCATCATCGTATCTGATCCACTGTGAGCTGTGAGAGTAACAAACAAGTGTCAGCGTAACAATAATCAAGATCATCTTCACGTAATCATTTCATCTCCACCTCATGCTATGAGTAGGCCTATTGAATATTATCAGTAGTAGATTATGAGATTTGATAACAATTATTAATATTAAATCTAAAATAGCTAATAACTTAAAAACTTAAAATTAACCGTCTGCTTCAAGTGGGCAATACCATACTCTAAATACAAATTATCAATGATTTATTAAAATTTTCAATGATTCCTCCTCAGGCGCTATACAGAGATAAAACCATGTGATCCAACATGGACTCACAAAACAAAACCTGGACAGTAAATTAAATTGGGGTTTACTGTGTATATAGATATATCTATCTTCCCTAATATACCAAGCCTCTTCTGAGAAATTATATAAAGAGGTCCACTGTCTGTAGCCTCTCAAGTGTCTCTTACCCCCTCAGAACCTTAAGCTTAGTAACACGTACTGTGTCATATTTTGATGGAATAAAGCATGATATGTACTCAAATCACCACAAAATTTGATAAGAACTATGATAAATCACATTCCTAGTATATATTATATATATTATACTGCACAAGATAATAAACTAAACGTTTGGGGGTAAAGAAGAGGCCTAGTTGCCGGAACCATAAAGGTACCACTTTAAGGAGGCGCCGTATATAATATAGTTTTAAACTATTTTCACAACTACAATTAAATACATTTATTGAGAATTGTGTAATGTAACGCAATGGAAGTATTTTAAGCGGGCATATCCTGTTCAAACCCAGGATACTTGACATAAAGAATTTGGTTCAGTAGGTTATTCAAGCAATACTAAGTAAGGAAATATCAATATTATGAAATTTCAGTTCAGGAATATCATCAAAAGCAAGAAACTGCAGAATTTTAAGTCCCTATACTAAACTAGCTAAAAAAGGGGGAAAAAATGGAAAAAAAGGGGGGGGGGGGGGGGGGGCAGGGGCATAATGAAGGGCCCTGCTCACAGGGGTGCCATAGTGCAAAGAAACTGCTACTGACTGCTGCTGACTGCTGCTAACTGCTGCTAACTGCTGCTAAATGCTACTAACTGCTGCTAACTGCTGCTGTCGCGCGCGCGCCATTTGAACTAGCTTACTCCTCAATTTAATTAGGATTCTCTCATCACTGGCAGCCTGTGATTTTTGAATAGATGATAAGCTTAAAACAAAGTTTATTAGTGCTTTAAAAGGACAGTTTCCAAAAGCACTTTACTTTGCTGTAACGTCTAACAAGTTTTTACACATAACCATGTGGCGGTGGATGTTTCAGTATACGACTTGAATGAAAGTAAGGGATTCTGACACACTTTTGATATCTTAGCAATGTAATTAGTTCAGTTGTGCCAATCCTTGAGTGAGCTATGGATCCTGTTAGGTCAATGCAGAATGCAGTCACACCAGTATAACAGATGGAGAATACAATATAATATATCCAGATCAACGTGTATTATAAACTACTTTATACACAGAATGGTCAAAATCTGATTGCTTCCACCACGTTCAACATTTCATCCAGCCAAGTAAAATGAAACCGTCAAAAATGTAATACATATTCCACTTCTAAAATATTAACTAAACCACTTAAAAATTGGCCTTGTAGCTATAAATTTAAGTTTAGACTCCCAACATCTACAAAGTTATTTTGCCCCTCTGTCTCCCTTGTAATCTAATGTGAACTAAACTTACAAATTTTAGCTAATTTTATTTATAGCGGCTCACAGGAGGAGCAAAGTGCAAAGGAACTGCCACAAAATGCTACAAACTGCTACTAACTGCTACTAACTGGCACTAACTGCTACAAACTGCTACTAACTGCTGCAAACGGCGCGCGAATGCACGGGGGCGATTGCAGCAGTTAGTAGCAGTTTGTGGCAGTTAGTGCCAGTTAATTTGTAGCAGTTAATAGCAGTTTGTGGCAGTTAGTGCCAGTTTGTAGCAGTTAGTAGCAGTTTGTAGCAGTTTGTGGCAGTTTCTTTGCACTTTGCTCCTCCTGTGGGCTGTGCACTAAATGTATAATCTCTACTTGGTGAACTATCAAATAATTTTTGACTTTATGCCTTGTTCATACAATTTTAAAATTATTTTTGTTCGCGTTCAGCGTTATTAATAATGCAAACAAAAATAATTTTGTTTAATTAAGTTTTATGGGACAACCAATATATTGGTTGTCCCATAAAACTTGATCGGCTAGGCTTAGGGTTAACAAATGATTATATTAATACTTGCAATCCTGAATTCCTTCAAAAATTGTTTAATACAACTATTTATTACCAAGACGCGCGCTGAGGACTCGACGACAGTCTTTTATGATATTTGGAACAAATATTTTACGAGTATAACCCGTTAAATTATGCATTACGTTATAATTATTTAAATTTACTTTGCATTTTATTTAAATTAAATATTTGGAAATATGATGTTGAAGGAATTCACCGTTTTGACGCGCCGCGTACGGCGTAAACTATTATTTAATTTTGATTTTGCAAAGCAACAATTTCAATAAATTGTCATTGCACATTGTCAATCAAAATATAATGAATTTCAATTTTTGTTTTACTGTATTGAATTTTTGTTTTGCTACTGCCTGTTAGTGAAACAAAAAGGCCATATAATATATAAGAAATTGTATATTTTGAAGCGTCATAGGGGCTCTAAATATATTTTTATTTGACAGTGTTCAGTTGCAAATTGTAACACGGTCTAAAAATTTTTGGATGATATAATTAATTATTGCGTTTGGTGCCGCGCGATTAAATCTTTAAACGTCTGCAATGAATCGAGCGCTATAAAGGGAACTGTATCAATTCGATCCTGTAATTCACTTATTGAATAATTGGTGAAGTATAAATGATTTTTCGTTCTAATCAGTTGCTTCCATATGACTAATTTGCAATGAAGTTGATTATTGATTATTGATTACCACGATTCAGAAACTGGAATCGCTTCCTTTTTGGGATGTGAACACCCTGTAGGCTGTAATTTTTAACATTCGTTTATAATTTTGAAATGTAAATATCTAGGTCAGCAAAAGTGTGTGCTCCAATCATGGTATAGTATAGTAATTAACCATTGCTTATTATACAGCACATTATACAGCACATAACAGGGGCATGCAGCAGCAGGAAATGTGGTGCTTACAAAATATAATAATTATATTGAAGCATCACCAATTTTATTTAATTCTAAAATGCATACTGAGTCGAACCCATCTCCAATTTTAACGCACAACCAGGGGCCAGGGCTCTAAGCGCATGGGACTCTTTTACCAATTGAGTGTGAAGTGGCATTAGATCGACTTTTGCATAATTCATACATCAGCTGGCTGTTACCCTATGCCTTGGTTTTAATGTCTTTTTATACATATAACAAAATCTTAAGTTAATATTATACAAGTTGATTGGTAATAAAACATTAATTTTTAAAAGAAGTCTTTTATCCACTGCAAAATGCAAACAAGCTGTTCAGGTGAGTGGAATTAAACAGACATTAAACATTAAGTTGTCAGAGGGAGCACTAACACTCCCGTCTAGACTATACAAGGAGTGAATATCACGAGGGAGAACATGACTGAATAAATTCACATCGTTAATAGAGGGTGACATTTTGCATGACTGTCTGGTATGCCATACCTACAGAGTATGTATAATTTGCTGATAAGATATTCTGTTTTGATGTAGCCCAACTGCTGTAATTGTATATCAAGCCTGAGGCGACTTAAGCTTCATGTGTATGGTTACACAGGATTACACAGCAGATTTTCATAAAATTTGTTAGTCTGAAGTCAGTTGATTATGACGAGACTGCAATGGATAGATACCTTAAATTCAAGAGAGTAGGGTGTTGTTACTAAGAGGGTGAGAAATAGCAGTTGTTAAACCGTTGCTTTAACTTAACAACTTGCTCCACAACCTATGTTCAAAATTCAAGGGTAAAACTGTACCAGTTTCCTAGCAAATAAGGTGGTTATCCAAGATCAGCATCACATTATCATCATCAAGAACAATCTGATAGCATAAAAATTAGGGAAGGTATAAGACAAATTGTTAAAAAAAAGTTATGAGCTCTCACACAGCCCCCTGTAAATGATAACCGAGTAATGCACATTGATCAGTCTGATCACATGGTTGCTCTTTTGGGATACCCTGTAGGCTGTATCATTACCATCAGAAGAAATCTTCACTTTAATGATGAATCTCTCAAAAGTTTATCGAAATTGCCTGATTCACGTACTGTAGTTCGAAATGCACTCTAATTCGACAACTTAAGTTCACCAGAAATCATCCCTGTCGAACTTTCGGTACGTGTCGAACCAGGTAGTGTACTTAAGTTCGACAAATAGTATCTGTTTGTGATCGAAGGGCTATTGCCGGGTCCTTATCATAAGATCACATGGTTAAATGGCAGGTGCACGAGATCAGAAATTTCAAAACGTTTAGGTAATCTTAAAGACTATTTTCTGATATCAAGCAACCAGCGGTTGGAAATTTCAGAACCATTCAGTATAATCAATAATATTTATTGTCATTCTCCTACTTTACAAGCGTACGTTTTGTACAATCTGGATCTATAAAACGGAGTTTGAGTTACCTGGGGTCGCTTAGTCTACCATTGTGCTAACTAACAATTGAGTCTAAGGTCAGTTAGGCAGCAAATTTTAAAATAGTTATCATATAATCAATTTTCTCAATCAGCTCCCAATAAAATTACATAAATGACAATGTGCACATTACACACATTATTTTTTTGACTTTTTGAGTTAGAACATCATGTCCTTTAATATTACCGTTACTTCTGGCTCACGGAACGTTATCAAATTTCATATGCGACTCAAAATTGTTCGATAAAAAACTAAATTGAAAGATATTCTGAATTAAAAATTGTATCTTTATGAATATCTTTCTTATTCAGTCGAAGTTCTCTTGTCGAACTTTAGTACGCGTCAAACTAGAGTCCAGGTAGTGCACTCTAGTTCGACAAAGTCGAACTTTAGAGTTTGTCGAACTACAGTGCGTGTCGAACTAAAGTGCGTGTCGAACTAACGTACGTGTACCAAATGGCCTCTATGCTCTAATTCAATATATTATGATTGTAACTTTAGCTTAATCTGTATCGTGACATATTCTTCAGCTTACAATAATTACATCATTACTATTACAGGCAGTATGGTCTCAAATGTTCTCGTTCACAGAAATCCTAAAGACCCTGTCTCCAAAGTGTGAGTACACTTTCGCTTTCACTTTCACTTTCTGCAATATTTTATGTGCATTATACTCTTATATAGTGTGTTATCTTACTTAAATAGTGCTATTATTGATGATGAAAACTCTAGTTATTGAATCGTAACATCAGCATTGCTATCATTTGCATAGTACACTCCACCCATAAATCTTAACACATAACTATTAACGTACAAGACAGAAATAAGCTGGTAACCTTAGATGAAAAATGAATTGAATTTATGGAATTCCAGATATTTTGTTATAAAAGGTAATGGATCTCCAGATCTGGTTGTACACTTTTAAGTACGTTTTTATGTATAAGATAAAAAACTAACATAGCACCAGAAGTATACAACAGTTGCTTAATATGCTTATTCAGCTTGAAATAAGTTTTATAAAAAATCACTCTCCAAGAATATATTTATGAAACGTTATATGAAATACGGTGTAATATCAATTGCAATTAGTGTAATGGTCAGAAGCTCTGTCCTACTCATGTGCTAATCATGTGTTAGTGACTTTATTAATGATATTATTCAATGTTTTCTTACCGCATTTCATTATAAGGTCAGAGAAATGTGGATGGAAAAAGTTGTAATTTACATCATGAAATGCAGATTCAGCGTGAACAAACATGCATGAAAGTTTGGCATTTTGTCTATTTTAATAATTTTTGCTTGAATTTACATGATGACACGACCATCATGCTTGAAATTTTTGCCGTGATTTAATTCTTATCATTTGACGTAACAGAGGCGAGGCTCGAGACGGTTTTGCAACAAAAGCTCTCATATTTTCTTTGTTTCCGTTTCCTTTTGTTTCTAATAAGTATGACTATTTTCGATAGACTTCGACATTCACCCAACAAATTGTGAGTAAATATTTTGATATTTCAGCCAATTAATCGTTTTCACTTTTGGTTCACTTTCAGGTTGTAATTTCGAATAAAATCGTACCGTGATAAAAACCGTATAAGAAAAAAGATTCAAGTATAATTGAGGTTTTAGTTTATAACCATTACGAAAAATATTCGTAAGAGATCATAGCATAAGTTTAACTTTAAGTTCTTACCATTAGTCATAACAAAAAAAAATTTTTTTTATTTCTGTCTCCTTATCCCATTTTAGGAAGTTTTAGGTGTCTCTGTAGAAGTGAAACTAGAAGACTCTTAAATGTGCCAAGAAAAAGGGTAATAAGCTTATTAAGTAAATGTCAACGTTAACATCATGTCCCTCTAGACTGTTAAAGTTATTAGGTTATTGTCTCTACCTAATAACTTGTCTCAACAGAAAATGAACTCAGTCATTAATGTGATGACTGAGACATCAGGACGCTCGTTTTAACTGTAATACTCACAACCAATGTGGGAATGTATTAATGGATAATGCCCACCACTAATATTAGATCACATGTCAATCTATTGTAAGATCAAAGTAAGATCCACCACCCCACCACTAGTGTTTTGTTTTTATAATGGATTGCTTGACACAGTTACCAAGTTAGGAACAATAGCCCCTTTACTAATATCAGAACATTTGTCTCCTCCACCAATAGTACTATTACACCTCTCTAGTTTACTATCACTTGCTCTTCTTATGGCTAACACAGTTTTGGGATGCAAGGAAAACTTTAGTGAAAAATAAAAATACGAAGCGAATCAAGCATGTGGGCGAGCACGTGACCTTGTTTGTTGTCTGCTTATTATTTGCTCTTGTTTTCGTGAGCTGGTACACGTGTTATCTTACACGATGAGAAAGCTGTAGGTCGGAAGAGTCACGTGACCTGCTTCTGACATTCCCATTGGTAATAGTGCTGTGAAGCAGTATTACTTATTAGTGTGAGATGTTTCAAGGATCACACTAATTCTAAAGTCGTGTATTTATTAAGAAAATGATAAAATCGTCCTCGTGAGTTAATGTTTAGTTGTATCCACCACCGTAATGCAGCAATAACACTCCTGCCTGTTCAGTCTTAAATCATCTAATTTTGTTGGAGGAAAGATAGAATAACTTAGCTAGTGTGGATTGTTGCGAATTAATTAATATAAAGTATTAAAGTTAATAAGTTAACCTGTTCACGCTGGTTGACTTCTGATTAATAAGTTATTAATACTAGGATTAATTAATAGGATTATTAAAGGTTAAACAGCTAACAATTTAACACTGCTTAATTCTCAGGGAGAAGAGCGACAAGGCTGCTTCCAATTCTTCTCTAGGATCAGATCCACTGGGTACGTTAACCAAATATCTTAGACAAATTACCTAGCCACAAGACTTATAATCAGATGAACTTTAATTAATACTTTGTATAATCTTTATTCTAACCAATCTAACTGTACTTTGTATAATCTTTATTCTAACCAATCTAACTGTACTTTGTATAATCTTTATTCTAACCAATCTAACTGTACTTTGTATAATCTTTATTCTAACCAATCTAACTGTACTTTGTATAATCTTTATTCTAACCAATCTAACTGTATTTTGTATAATCTCTATTCTAACCAATCTAACTGTCAATCTCACTGATGAAAAGTTATTTGGGAAATGGGAAATGCTTTTAGTAAGACTGTTAGAGTGTTAGAGATTTACTTTAGCAAGACTCAAAACAGGGTCCTAAAACATGCTACCAGTACCAGAATACGCAGGTCACTGAGTTCTCACATAACTAAATGACTGGCTAGTAATTCCAACTGTTAGGTAGTTGGAATTACCAGTCAGGTAGGTAACCTAGGTAACCTTACACCACGTGTTTCACACCACGTGTTTCACACCACGTGTTTCACACCACGTGTTTAACACCTCGTGTTGTTTCAGAGCGTGTAAAGCAGATGGATGCCAGCATGCAGGGCTCAGTCTACAGTGACAGTGGTATTTCCTGCACTTCCTCATCACGACACCCCAAACCGCCGCGCGGGGAGGACGAGCTGAAGCACATCAACAGGTTTGATTGAAAGCCCCTCGCAAGGGGAGTGTTTAATGGATTATACCAATGGAATTATTTATTGTTTACATCATAATCAGTTTACAAAATAGGAACCCCGATGGGCACTCCTGAAAATATAACTTTCAGAAAACATAAATCAAAATTAAATCAAAAATGAAGTCAAATGTGATAAATCGTAACAGGATGTACGACGCGTACGAAACAGGCAGTGTGAGGTCCCACAACACTTCTAGGTCGAACTCCACTTACAGATCTGCAGGCGATATTTCTGGTAATTATAAGGACTGTTTTAATGTTTTAATTGGTATTTTGGTTCCCTTCAGTCTGCTAGATAAATAAAAATAAATCTAAATCTGGGTATGGGATGCTCCATTGATGTCATAATAATTTAATTGTTGCAAATATGTGTCAATCAAATTGTTGGATCCTTTTGTATGATTTAAATCTTGACAATCCAGTACTTCAGCGTCTGTTTCAACCTTCAAGCCGTTCCTGTTCACAGCAAGCAAGGACATCAGCAATATTGGGAGTGAAGACTCAACTCCATTCGAGAAGTGAGTACCACCATATAAGGCCATCACGTGTTATCTACATCTGCCAGTTTGAAATAGATTGGTTCTCATTTGAAAAGCACATTATTGCATTTAAAATGTCTAGTGATTTATTATAATTCGACATTAGAGTGACAGTACACTACTTGATGTGCTAATTTACAGGAAGCGTGGAGATTATTGAGTACTAGTGTAACCCGTGCCTACGGCCGGGACTTCACTATCGCAGTTGAAATGCAAAAGTATAAACCCGCCTATTATATTCGGAAACACACATTACATTTTCGTAGTTAAAACTGTGCGAAAGTATGAACTCGCTCTGTCCAAACACACCGCAATTTAATTCTGACTACCCCTCATATATCTTATAGTAATACTTGATAGCCAATCTTGCGGTACACTGCCAAAGTACATAATTATATGCAAATCTGTTATGGTGGGAGAGAGAGCGAGAGTGGTAGATAGGGAGAGTACGTGAGACACTTTAGTATCACATTTGGGTCACAAAATGATCGATTAAACCGCTTACAACCGGCCGATTTAAAAAACCTTACTCATTTGACTTGGTCAGAGTTTTATCGGCACTATAACGAAAAAAGCAGCCCCGCAACTCTTACCGTTTTCTTGATTAAGCCGTTCGGAAATTACACGCTCCAGAAATTTCAACTATTTAAACCATTTAACCAGATAAAAATATCTGTATCTGATAACCGCTAACCATACCATGGTTACCAAGGTTACCATGGTTACCATAGGATTGATGACAACCAACCTTTTTAGCTTTTAATACCTGTCGCAAAGTAACGCAGAGTAACGCAAAGTAACTTTGTCCCTGTTCAGGTTTGTAGAAGTGTTGATTACTACGATGGCACCCCAGAATAAAGGAAAGCAGCCTGTATCCCCCGGCTACCAAGACGACACTCATCTCTGGGCCATCTTCTCCTCCTCGAGACTCAATCTAAAAATACCTCCCGATCAGGTTAGAGATCTTTTGTTCACGCTACTTGGGTGGCCTAGACAAATCATTCAATCAGAATGATTTAAGTTCCCTTTTATTAAAACTCTTTTTAATTAGATTCAGTTAAATGAGCCATACTATCCAACAAATTGAACTTTTTATGATTTCAACAGAAGCCAAGAACTACATTTAGATATAAATGGGTATTGTTAAGACGCCCCCCTCCCCCCAACACTCTCTATTAGTCATACCCTTCCCCCTCCCCCCAACACTCTCTGTTAGTAACACCCCTCCCCTCCCCCAACACTCTCTGTTAGTAACACCCCTCCCCCTTCCCCCCAACACTCTCTGTCAGTAACACCCCTCCCCCTCCCCCCAACACTCTCTGTTAGTAACACCCCTCCCCCTCTCCCAACACTCTCTGTTAGTAACACCCCTCCCCCTTCCCCCCAACACTCTCTGTTAGTAACACCCCTCCCCCTCCCCCAACACTCTCTGTTAGTAACATCCCCTCCCCTCCCGCCGGCCCGCCGGCCCCCCTCCCCCAAACACTCTCTGTTAGTAACACCCCTCCCCCGCCCCCGGCCCCCTCCCCCAAACACACTCTGTTAGTAACACCCCTCCCCCTCCCCCCAACACTTTCTGTTAGTAACACCCCCTCCCCCGCCCCCCAACACTCTCTGTTAGTAGCACCCCTCCTCCTCCCCCCAACACTCTCTGTTAGTAGCACCCCTCACCCTCCCCCCAACACTCTCTGTTAGTAACACCCCTCCCCCGCCCCCAACACTCTCTGTTAGTAACACCCCTCCCCCTCCCCCCAACACTCTCTGTTAGTAACACCCCTCTCCCCCGCCCCAACACTCTCTGTTAGTAACACCCCTCCCCCTCCCCCAACACTCTCTGTTAGTAACACCCCTCCCCTCCCCCCAACACTTTCTGTTAGTAACACCCCTCCCCCTCCCCCCAACACTCTCTGTTAGTAACACCCCTCCCCCTCCCCCCAACACTCTCTGTTAGTAACACCCCTCCCCCTCCCCCCCCCCCCAACACTCTCTGTTAGTAACACCCCTCCCCCTCCCCCCAACACTCTCTGTTAGTAACACCCCTCCCCCTCCCCCCAACACTCTCTGTTAGTAACACCCCTCCCCCTCCCCCCAACACTTTCTGTTAGTAACACCCCTCCCCCTCCTCCCAACACTCTCTGTTAGTAACACCCCTCCCCCTCCTCCCAACACTCTCTGTTAGTAACACCCCTCCCCCTCCCCCCAACACTCTCTGTTAGTAACACCCCTCTCCCTCCCCCAACACTCTCCTACACTGTCAGGTACGTACAATGAGGGACTGGTTCTACGCGTCCGAACACGAGTCCAAGGACCTGACTGTGGAGTTTATAAACAGCGTCCGGGATCTGATAACACATCTCAGCAGAGAGAGACCTCTCTACGGTCCTTCCTGGATAGCCATCATGGACCACAACTCTAGGGAACTGTTCTTTAACCGTGTTACTGGTGAAGCTAGGTTAGTACAACTCTAGGGAACTGTTCTTTAACCGTGTGACTGGTGAAGCTAGGTTAGTACAACTCTAGGGAACTGTTCTTTAACCGTGTGACTGGTGAAGCTAGGTTAGTACAACTCTAGGGAACTGTTCTTTAACCGTGTGACTGGTGAAGCTAGGTTAGTACAACTCTAGGGAACTGTTCTTTAACCGTGTGACTGGTGAAGCTAGGTTAGTACAACTCTAGGGAACTGTTCTTTAACCGTGTTACTGGTGAAGCTAGGTTAGTACAACTCTAGGGAACTGTTCTTTAACCGTATGACTGGTGAAGCTAGGTTAGTACAACTCTAGGGAACTTTTCTTTAACCGTGTTACTGGTGAAGCTAGGTTAGTACAACTCTAGGGAACTGTTCTTTAACCGTGTTACTGGTGAAGCTAGGTTAGTACAACTCTAGGGAACTGTTCTTTAACCGTGTTACTGGTGAAGCTAGGTTAGTACAACTCTAGGGAACTGTTCTTTAACCGTGTTACTGGTGAAGCTAGGTTAGTACAACTCTAGGGAACTGTTCTTTATCCGTATGACTGGTGAAGCTAGGTTAGTACAACTCTAGGGAACTGTTCTTTAACCGTATGACTGGTGAAGCTAGGTTAGTACAACTCTAGGGAACTGTTCTTTAACAGTGTTACTGGTGAAGCTAGGTTAGTACAACTCTAGGGAACTGTTCTTTAACCGTATGACTGGTGAAGCTAGGTTAGTACAACTCTAGGGAACTGTTCTTTAACCGTGTGACTGGTGAAGCTAGGTTAGTACAACTCTAGGGAACTGTTCTTTAACAGTGTTACTGGTGAAGCTAGGTTAGTACAACTCTAGGGAACTGTTCTTTAACCGTATGACTGGTGAAGCTAGGTTAGTACAACTCTAGGGAACTGTTCTTTAACCGTGTTACTGGTGAAGCTAGGTTAGTACAACTCTAGGGAACTGTTATTTAACCGTGTGACTGGTGAAGCTAGGTTAGTACAACTCTAGGGAACTGTTATTTAACCGTGTGACTGGTGAAGTTAGGTTAGTACAACTCTAGGGAACTGTTCTTTAACCGTGTGACTGGTGAAGCTAGGTTAGTACAACTAGTGGTGTATTTCTCTAATATTGATCATGATATATGATGTATGATGTCTACACCATGATTGGTATTTCATCATCAATCATCATATGTCATTAGAACGTGTGCTACATAACGTACTCTCTATCTACAGCTTGTTGGTCTGGTCTCCTAGCTGTGCTCTCTTTTTGCTGTAGCACTCCGGCCGCACTGCAGAATGTTAATTAAATTGGTTGGTATGCAGGGTCCCACATCGCTGTATCTGATCCGCTTATTAAACGCGTCTGATAATATTGTGTTTTTGTTAGTCTTTTGGAGCCATGTGAACCCTTATCAGCTTATCTGGTTCACTTTAGAGAGATTGGAATGCGTTGGTTTACCTACTGCTCTGGCAGGGTTTAATAAGCCTATTGCTTGCTAATTCTCCATTTCATGAACACTGTGCGTTACGTCCACCTCTCGTCTGACACTGTCGCTTCTTCGTGTATATCGTTCAGTGAAGCTTTGTGTAGTAGTACTTACTTCAATATATCCAGTGAAGCTTTTGTAGTAGTACTTACTTCAATATATTCAGTGAAGCTTGTCTTTCATTTTATACACTTTAAATAGACCTCGTCCAGGAACGAGGGTTTCTAGCGAATTGCGACTGAGTGCAAAGCTATCATTGAGGTTATGCTTTATTTTGCATTAACTTAAACTGAGTCACCATGGTGACCGTTGCCAGGATGTTGCCCTCTTCTTGGGTGATCTACCTTTGCTTTTATTTAAAGGAGCGCGTTCCACTAAGCCCTTGCGATTAAATGTGATTAAAATGTGCCCATTTCGCAATTCTTCTGCAGGAACAATTCATTATACTGACGCAAAATTGCGGTAAAACTGTCCTATATTTCAATTTAGTGTTTAAATACTCTCCCAAATTATATTTTGGGTATTTCTGACTTTGTTCCTGTGTGAGAGGCCCTACAAAACCCTTCTTAAAAATCACAATATCTTTAGTTTCTGCTTTACATCAGGTCATGTGGTCTTTGCTTGAAATTCTCGCTAATTACACAAGTCTTACTTTCTATGTAGCACAATGAATCTGTAGCTATGATGCACCAGCACCCGCTCTTTTGATGAATGAATAATGATATTTTCACATTGGCACTGGCAAATGTTAATGAACTCCCAAAAATGGCTCTCCCACATCTTAACATAACGAAAAATGTGTGTTATAAAAGTAATATGAGAAATGCGAACAACACAATGTGGGTACTAATGAATTAAGACATAGAACAACTTCACCGACCTTCTTCTGAGGAAACTGAAGCAGATATCTGAAGTAAGGTAAATATCATTCTAATGTTAATCATGCGGAACAGTCATGAGTCTTGTACAGACTCTTCTGAGGTAACTGAAGCAGATATCTGAAGTAAGGTAAATATCATTCTAATGTTTATCATGCGGAACAGTCGTGAGTCTTGTAGTAGACTCTTCTGAGGTAACTGAAGCAGATATCTGAAGTAAGGTAAATATCATTCTAATGTTCATCATGCAGAACAGTCTTGTAGTAGACTCTTCTGAGGTAACTGAAGCAGATATCTGAAGTAAGGTAAATATCATTCTAATGTTTATCATGCGGAACAGTCGTGAGTCTTGTAGTAGACTCTTCTGAGGTAACTGAAGCAGATATCTGAAGTAAGGTAAATATCATTCTAATGTTCACCATGCGGAACAGTCGTGAGTCTTGCAGTAGACTCTTCTGAGGTAACTGAAGCAGATATCTGGGACTACCAGGGACAAAAGGATTTCGCGATTATTAACAGACTATACATTAAACTATACATAAAATTTGTCGCAAATAATGGGAAAAATCGCGATTGCGTATATGCCGCGATTTCCTTTTGTCCCTGGGGACTACCCAGTACCCTCTTCCTCATAACCTTATCTCACAACATGGCCTTTTTGCTCCACGCGTTTAGTATCGCTCCGATTTATGACTTACATTATACATACCTATAGTCAAAATGTATACTTCAACTTCTGAGAGGTTGATTAGAGAAACACCACCCTGAAGTTCAACTGTTCAACACTTGATCCTTCTATGTCCAAGTCAGGAATGGTGTGAGGTTGTTTCCAGCCCGCCCATTTCAGGGTTGCAACATTCGTAGCACCTTCGTAGTCCCCTCCTGGTAAATTTTTTCCAACCCAAACTTTTACTCCTTCTATTCTGTAGTTGTTAACCCTATTGTAGATTACTATCTTTGATATTAGGTACACCTTTTCCAGTGTTACCATCCACCATGCTGAGCTTCCTTGCGTGATTGTATGGGTGAAATCGTTCACACTAATAAAATAAACGTTGGTTAAGACCGAAACTTATAACCTAATATAATTTTATAACCTTGGTAAACTCATCGTATTTTTGTGAGGGGTAAGATTAGGGTTCACGTGACAGCTCTCAGCATTGATCAATCAAAACTCGAGATAGCTCTCGCATACATTGAAGCAAATTTGGTTCGTGTCCCCTCCAGTATCTATATCTAGTTGTTATTCAATGTCTGGTAAACTTACTTATTAACTACACCGTTGATCGCTAAATCCGGGCGATTGTCCCCTCCTCCTCCGTAGTAAATATCTACTTGACTGGCAGTTCCCTCTCGAGCAACGTTCTTGTAAAAGTCTTCGGCTGCTGGGAAAGTGTTTTTGAAAGCAAAACTGGAGACAAAAATATTAAATAGGGTGTCTCTTAACGAAATGTTTATGTCAGCGATTATTATAAACATCAAGACACACCGTTAGCCTGTTGTTTGTATTAGTTTCGCAGGTTGGTTTTAATATTATCTATACCTTGGGAAATGTATAGAAAATACAGGAAGATGGCTGCAATCTTAATATGATTCAGTGTTATCGCAGGAACAACCAAGTTTGGCATTTTCCCGTAACCTTCGATATTTTGACCTTGTCTTTCTTTCACTAGGTGGAGTTAGGTTAGTGACAACTTCCTGTTACCTCAGTTATTTCATTTCAGTCATAATCGGGATGCTAAACACTGAACAGCAATCACTCAATCAGATCCCGATTGCTAATATTTTATGGACTGACTAATATGCTATATTACATATCGTTATCAATACAGAAATTACACGAACTAAGGCAAAACTCTATTCACGATTAAAGATATAAAATAGAAAGCCTGTATTGTTGTTTCATAAAATAGGACCCGATGCCAGGAAGATTTACAACAACAAACTAATATATAAAACTGTGTCTCTGTGAACTGTAAACGAGCTCTCACTCAGGTCGTAGATATAATTATATTGAATTTAATAACTCAAGCCGGTAGACAGTGAACTTTTACAGGTTGTTGCGAACCGGAGCGAGCTTGGCAACACCCAATAGTGGAGCTCTAAGTTAATGTTGTTGTTTAAGAGATCCGCCACCAGAATTGTAAACTGTCCAACTGTCCAGCTCTAAGTTAATATTATTGTTGAAGAGATCTCTAGCTGCTACATAACTACAAACTTAAGGAAGTTGAACCCCTAGGAGTTGCTCAGAGCATGAGCACTGTCAGAGTATTTGTAAGCTTTATAACGAGGACTAGGAAACTCTCCAACAGACCCTGCTCTAAGTTAATGTTATTGATAAAAATCTCAACAACTGCAGCATAATCTCTGTCTCATGTCGTAACCATCGGAAGGAACAACCAACAAGCAAATAAACAATTTTGAAATAGGAATCGTTCAATCGTTTGTAAGTAGGAATTTTACTAACGAACTTAATATATTTTGAAATTTACAAGGCTGTATCATGTACTGTGTCATCTTAGCGACCCGACCCCCCCCCCCCCTCCCCACTATTATTATTTTACGACGTATCTGGACCGGAGATGTCGTGCCTGAAAACAAGGTTTGCCATCAAGGTACAGGACACTTTAAAACCAGAGGACGCTATGGCGGAGGGGGGGGGGGGTACTCGGACTGGACAGTGCAGCTGAATCATACGAAACAACTCTATAAACTGAAAGCAGCAAACTGTTGACCTCGCTAGTGTTAGACTAGGTTCTCAGCTCCCGAGCAAGTAAACACAAAAGGCAAAGATCACTATTCTGGTAGTCTTGTTGGGGATGTTGATTTCCTGAGTTCATAGGGGTAATGTTATGTGTTCAAGTACTAATACCATTTGCCTTCTGCTATCAGTGGCTTGTCGGCGTATCCTTCTTATTTGCGTTAGGTAGTAAGATCACAAGTACTTTTTATCTCAACACTTATTTTACTTCGGACATTCCAACAGCCACATTGTTACACAAGTGTGTAACCAGCCAATTACAGGAAGCCGAAGGATTCAATTATACATTAGGCCAGTGACGGTTAAGGTAGTGTGTACCATACTTTCTTCGCCCGAGACTTTGCTGCAATGGGCAGCTCCTCATTTAACCCTCACACCCGATTTCTCGAGTATTTGGCTGAGTGGACCGGGGGGCTGCATAGACCACTCAGGATCCTTAGCTGAGCGTCGACGACGCTCACCCCACGGCTAGTGACAGAGTCGGGAATCGAACCTGGTACCTCAAGCAATACCAGGCGGATTAACCAACTGAGCCACTAAGCCGTTGAGTTTTACTTACATCACATGAGTCTCGCTTCAAGTTATTGGCTGGTCTTTCTGTAAAGGGTGTTCTGACTAGTGGCCTAATGGTGTCTCGTTTGTCCCTTCGTCCAAGTCTAAAGTAGACTTTCACAGTGCTAGAATGTGTAGTAGAGCTGGAAAATAGAGATCATGTTATTAGTCGGTCTCATTGTTAACAGGTGATCTGACCAGTGACCAAATCGCTCCTAGTTTGTCTCATGGTCTAAACCCAGGAATCAGGATGTATGAACCTGTTTAGGTCTGTATATAATACAAGCCAATGATTCCTGTCCGAACCAGAAATAAAGCTGAATTACTGGAATTTGTTTGTAAGGTAGTGAACAGTGAGCAGTCTGGTTGGATTAACCTCGCTAAACAGTTTATTAGTTCGCATTTTGTAGTAAGAGTCACTTCTGATAGTAAGATACTATCGGAAGTCAAGACTTCAAGTATTGGTTTTTAACTAATTTTAAATTCATTTGTTTACGTTATTCTAGTAGGATATCTCTTGATGTTCTTATATTTGCAGGTATGGAGTCCCGAAAGATTTTCCCACTCTGAGCGAGATGGACGTATTTGGACGGACAATTCACGAGATGTTCTACAGTGTAACAACAAAGGGTATCAACCACATTACCATCCCACAGTTTGATGATATTTGTAACAGCAAGAAGTACAATTTCGACCTGAAACAAGAGGAGAAATCTAAACTGATGCGCTCCATTGTCAAGTAAGTTAATTGATAGCGGTGCATTATTCCCATGATTGTTAGCTAGTCCTGGATTATAAATGCTTGTCGTGCATCTCCTGAAGTCACTGCTTGCCTTTAGGTCGTGACGTTAGTGGTGTGAACATTTTACTAACATACTAAATAATAAAACAGTACGAAGTACAGATTTGGAGGTGTAAAAACGTAACGCGCGAAAACGTTTTGTATTAACAAACTATCCTAAAAGACATTTTGATTGACAACTCGCGCGGCGCGTCGACCATTCGAAATGCGCGTTATATGTGAAGCACATGGATTTTATTAAATTTGGTTCCTTGTTTCTACGGCATCGAAATTAGCTAATGGATTGTGGGTTATATGACCACCGGTAACCTTAGCGACTCAAATTTAGGGCCCCCACGATGTGCATGTGTCTTATCTAGCTACAGTTGCGGTATATTATTTGTTTATCGTTTTAATTCACTCTCTCCGCTCCCTGTTATATTGTGTCTATATAACGTGTGCGTGTCATAATTCTTGAACTTGAATCTTTTGCTCCATCTAGGACCTTAAACGAGGAGGAAGTCATCTTCTACGAAGATTTTGTACCAGTCGGAAGAGCTCTCTTGTTAAAGTGGTACCGACAGCAATATCCAAAAGGGGTAAGACACTGATTAGCATTTGTAAAACGCAAGTCGGAGATTTTTATCAGAAGAGCAAATTACAAACATTTCTGATTCACTCTGTGTACCGTGCTGTGACTGTAATTTGTTACTGTGTATTATTGCTTGATCGATCTGTAGTGAATCGGCTGCCCTTAATTAACAAATTGCTTCATACCGTGTCTGTGTACTTTTGAAACATAACATTGAAACAAAACGTTGAGCTATACGTCTGCAGCTCTTTGAAGTACGTTAAGTCTGTTTATTGTTGCTTCATGGGTTGATCTAGTTGTTTGTTAATTTTAAATTTGCAACTCTACTCTCTCTGAAGCCTTATAAATGTAATTTTACACCCAACCGTAACCTTAACTTTATCCCTATAAAACATAAAACTACCCCAGCCCAGTTTAAAAACGAGTAATTATGTCTGTTACTCAATTCCTCTCTAGTCTGGTCTTCATTGCTTATATCTTATATCTGATAGATTACGATTCACATACCTACTAGCTCTGTCTAATTAGGATTCTGACTTTCTTTTTATTTAATTGCTGGACGAGCACAGCTTTCTGCTATCCTTTGCTCTGAATTATCCTGATTTCATTAATTTCTTTCTTTAGGGCGACTGGTTGAAGTTGAGTAGCAAGAGGTACGGTTTCTTCTACCTCAATAAAATGACTGGCGAGACGACGTTCCGACCTGCTCAATACGAGAGGTAAACATATTCTTAAATTATTCAATTAAATAATCAATTAGTTAATTTATTTATTTGACCTTGCCATGGTTACTGGCACGACAAGGACAACAACCCAACTTGGACTTGCAGAAGCTGCTATAATGACCACAAAAAGTCCTAATAAGATTCTAAATGTTATAGCTTTATTAAACCCGTGTCCTGGTACTGGGGTGATAAAAGCACTGCACGGTATCGGTAGTCCAGCCCCAGGAGCACGTGGGCAGGTTGTTGCCATGGTTACAGGAGCACGTGATGGGTTGCTTTAGTCACGTGACGGGTTGTTATAGCCGAATGGTCGTTAGAATGGTCGTTAGACCGCCCAATATCTTAAATGTGCTCCTTGATAAAGGTATCTAGCGTTTTCACCACGTCGTAGCGGCACCCGTCCTGAAAATCGTGTCAACAAATGTCAACACTTCACTTTCCCTTTGTCCTCTGAAAATTCCGACGAAGTCACGTTCAACATTCTGATTTATGAGGGAGCAAGTTTTACATGAATAGCTAAGCATGCCAGCATGAGCCTGTTGTTAACTTGCAAAGACCAACTAATGTTATCTAATATGTATTAGAGGTTCTAGAATCTAGAGGTGCCATCAACTATCCAACTTAGATGATTTAGAGTTTAATTGTTTCGAATCGAAAGCTTATTAATTAATTAATTTTCAGTCCTATGGACTGTTTGCTTGTTTTCAGAAGACATTATTATACTATATTGATGTTCTGTTCAGGGAGCAGTTGTCTTTGTATCTACAAGACACACTAAAAGAGGTGGAAACACTGAAAGAGACAATAAAGTTCCAAGAGGAAGAGACCAGCTCTGCTACTAAACAGCTGAACAATGTTACCAAGGAGTGTGAGGAACAGGTATTTTAAATATCCTAAATCTAACTGTTGAAACAACACTGGAGGTTTATATAAAGTATAAACACCACCGGGAGGTTATTCCGACCAGGTGGACGTACGGTTAATTGTAAGGAAATCCAACCAACAACTATAGACCTGGATACTGATGAGGAGGTTTCTTTTCTTGCAGTGATGAAGATGTGTTTGAAGTGTAGAAGTTAGAGTAGGCCCAAATTCAGTAAAATATGCGCTGTATTTTAACAATTCATTCGGTTGCCGAGTTGAACTTCATTTGCCCGAGTATTCGACTTCAATAAGGTAATTTTCGTATATATTTACACCCCTACACCGTTTTGCGTATTAAGCTGTCAACTACTATCAAATGTCACTGAGATTGAGATTTTGGCTGCAAGTAAGCTTGGTCAGCGACTGATCAGTAAATTAAATCTTTAGTCAAATTTAGTGACAAATCTGTGATTTAGTGACAAATTATTTGGCTCAGAATCGAGACGGCAGTATTTTTAATTTTTGTGTATATATGACAGTACTGTAAATGCACAGTAGTTTTAACAACTTACCCAGATTTGTACCTAAATATCGTTAAATGAGATAGCGGCGAGATTTATTCGAATTCGATGTAATATATAGTAGTCAACCGTTTAGTTACTTCACTTTCAGTTTAAGCGTTAATAAATCATTCGTATTAATTATATGCCAATGTCATCTTTTTAATACACATTATGTGGTTACAAAATGCACCCTAATTTTGATGATTACATATTTTCAGGGCGAGGAAGTCTCCAGTTTAAAGTCGAAAATTATAGAACTGGAAGATGAATTGAAGAGCGAAAAAAATGGATATGAGCAATTATTAGAAAAGGTTAAAAGTCACTTTATTTTTTGGAGCACGTACGTTATGATTCTCAGCGCATTTTATTGTGATTAATTATCCAGAAGTCAGCTGCACGTGACTCAAATACCGATATTCCTCAGTATGACAGCACTGCCACGTGACTCAAATACCGATATTCCTTAGTATGACAGCACTGCCACGTGAATCAAATACCGATATTCCTCAGTATGACAGCACTGCCACGTGAATCAAATACCGATATTCCTCAGTATGACAGCACTGCCACGTGAATCAAATACCGACATTCCTCAGTATGACAGCACTGCCACGTGACTCAAATACCGATATTCCTCAGTATGACAGCATTGCCACGTGACTCAAATACCGATATTCCTCAGTATGACAGCACTGCCACGTGACTCAAATACCGATATTCCTCAGTATGACAGCATTGCCACGTGACTCAAATACCGATATTCCTCAGTATGACAGCACTGCCAAAGCCTTGGAAGAAAGTAGAAGTGAAGTAGACACCTGGATGAGCGCTAACTCTGTGCTACAAGCCTTAAAGACTAAAGTAGAGGAGGCGTTAGAAGAGAAAGTGAAAGAGATTCTAGCCTATGAGCATATGGTAGAGGAACTGAACGGTGATGTAGAGGTCTTGAAGGACGATATTGCTAAAGCTAACGCTTTTGCCAACGCCAAGGATTCTGAGCTAGCTGGTTAGTTTTCTAACTATTTAATATTGATAATATAAACATTAATAACTTCTTATAACAGTTTAATATTGACAATATAAACATTAAAAACTTCTTATAACATTGATAATATAAACATTAATAACTTATTTGTCGCTGTTGATATGTTTATAATCCTATGTCGTGATTACTATAGCGCCCTCCCAAGCACTTGTACTGAACTTGTCTTATCAACCAGTTAGAGCTAATCTCGTCCATGACCTTAATCAAAACGTATTGTAAACATATCATATTGAACAGCCTGCTGAAAGATCATTGAGTGAGTCACGTAGCTCTACATGATTAAGATAAATATTATGCTATTTGCGTTTTAAACAGGTCTACTTGTTGACCACTTGTCCGGTGAGATGAGCTAATCCACATGATTCTGTCAGACGTATTGCGGAGCTATTGACATTTACTTTGTCTATTGCTGCGTCTTTTGTAATAGAAATTTGTAGTTGTTACCCAAACCGATCAAGGAGCACCAGACATGTTTGCTTTTAAGAAATTAAAAACTAACAAGATTGCCAACTTAAAAAGTAAGTAATGGTCGCACTACTGTAACCATGTAACCAGTTCGTGGTTTTCTGTCGTCCAAGAAATTGTTACAATTTCGGCAGTACAATTGTTACAATTTTATAATTGTTATGAGGCACAACACTGAACTCTCCCCTTCTCAAGGGCTCCTGTTTGACTACGAGGAGGAGAAGAAGGCTCACGGGGAAACAGGAGAAAAGTTTAAGGATGCGGAAGAGGCGCTGAGTTCCCAGATCAGAGAACTGGAAATGAAGCTTTCTGTTGGATCTGAGAGCAACAAGTCCTTATCATCTACTACCGAGCAGCTCCAGCTCAGCATCGAACAAATTCTTGTCATCAAAAAGGTTTGTTTTTCGGTCTTCTTCGCGGACCTCGTTTTAATGGTTTTCTTGGGGACTCAAATTGTGTTCTGTTAGTGTTAGTCGACAAATCACAATTTTATAGTTTGATGCTGTGAGTTGTGCAAACTCTTACATCCAGCTTGAATGTTAAAATCATACTTGTATTCAAGTAATCATATTTGTATTTGCCTTTCATTAATATTTGACCTGTTAATCACCCTGCATAGAAGAGGATGAATACTGAGAATTTAATTAAAATATGACTGTGTTATAGTATCCAACTGAATGATGATAACTTGTTCAGAACCTGGAGGGTAAAGTCAAGGAAATAGAGAAAGATATAGCTGAGGAAAAAGAAAAGAATAAAGAACTGACCGAGGCTAACCAGACGCATGAAAAACGCAATGCTATGATGGACTCTGATCTTAAGACCTTTAAAGAACAACATCTAACTGCTAAAAACAAGGTTACTCGATCATTTAAATAATAATAATAATGGCATTCGCCATTATATTTTATATTCATAAACTTCTGTATTTCTGATAAATCCATCAAATACCTGCTGCTCTTAACAGGGTTACCGGTTAATTACAGTTCAATTTAGGTTATTCCTGTAGAACTAGAAGTTACAAACTAAATTTTGTACCTGTTCAGGAGATGAACGAAGCTCTGACAGTGATAGAGAGTTTGAAGTGTCAGCTGGAGTTACAGAGAGAAGAGGTGAAGACTCTGAAGATCAAACACTCCAGTAAAACTCAAGTCTTCGCTCAACAGTCCGAGGTTAGTCCAATAATCATTATAGTCATTATACTTATATTCATTATTAGTCGTTATTAGTCATTATAGTCCTTATTAGTCATTATTAGTCATTATTAGTCATTATTAGTCATTATAGTCATTATAGTCATTATTAGTCATTATTAGTCATTATAGTCATTATTAGTCATTATTAGTCATTATAGTCATTATAGCAGGAACCCGTATAACCCTAAAATGGTGTCAAGACTCAAGAGACTAAAATAATTATTTCCTATTTAATTCACGTTTTTGACACCACTTGGGGTACCAAATGCAAATTTTGGGCTCTAAAACTCCTATTTCTTGGCCAATTTTTTATTTTTTCATGCTGATTTGGAGGCCATTAAAGCATTTGACCCAGTCAAAAAGGTTTCAGTTGTATATCTTTTACGGTTTTTGCGGAAATTTGCGTTAAAATTGATGCCGTGGTGTCAGTAAAATGGCACGGATAAATATATATCGTCTCGCTTTATATATAGTAAGATTATAGTCATTATAGTCATTATAGTCATTATAGTCATTATAGTCATTATAGTCATTATAGTCATTATAGTCATTATAGTCATTATAGTCATTATAGTCATTATAGTCATTATTAGTCATTATTAGTCATTATAGTCATTATAGTCATTATAGTCATTATTAGTCATTATTAGTCATTATTAGTCATTATTAGTCATTATAGTCATTATTAGTCAATGTTTTTTAAGTAGCTTTGTGTTTTATAAGCTATTCCGTTTTACTGCAACCATTGTGTTTGAAGTAGTTGTGATTATTAGGACAGACTTTTTTTTACTGAAAAGCTACTCTTGGAGGCAAAGAGGACCAGGAGTCAGGACTCTTCGAACCGCAATACATATATGTACTCCTTCATCAACTATATTGTTCTTCATGCAAAGCGGTTGATCCATCATAATCTTCATTGTTCTTGCCAATACCATCGGTTAACAGGGATGTAGGAATGATTTTCTGCGGGCCAAATATCACGTTTTCTATAAGTATATGGAAACAGCCTTCCGAATCGGTGGTACGGACTTCAGAAAACCGAAAAAATATTTTCGGCTCATAATGATCAGGGTTGCATGTAAAGATGTAACATGAACAAAAGTAGTCTCTAGAAAAACTTTGACAGAAAAACGTCGACAGAAAAACTTTCCCCAGAAATTTTTAGAAACCTAAATAAAAAAGTTGGCCCCTTGCCCAGATTTTATGGGGGGATGCCCCCCCCCCCCCCCCCGCTTGCTACACCCCTGTATGAATATCTGTATGAATATCTTGATTTGGTATAAATACTCGGTATAATAGAGAGAACTGCTGAACATTTTGTTGTAACTTTGTATGAAAAGCATTAATATAAGCCCTTTTATAGGCCCTTTTATAGGCCTATTTTATAGGCCTATTTTATATAGGCCTTCGAGTTGTGTAACCTTCAGGCTTCAATAGTCGCACAAGAAATCTGAGTTTGTCCGAGAATCACGATAGTTGCTTTTTACTCCTCAGACAGATTGAAGCCTACTTCTTAAGATGGTCTTGCACGTGCAGAGCATCTTTGCGGTTAAAAATTAGTATACAGATTAAAATTGGATATATTCGCCGACAGTCGATTTTTTAAGTGGATTTGATTACTGCATTAAGATAAAAACTACCTTAAATTATAGTTCACTCCGTTTCTGTTACACTAATCTGTTAATTTGACGTTTCTTCTGTCATTGCAAATCATTGGATGTGGACATGTTAATTTGGAGTGCTCGCCACTACTTCCTTTTGAAGACAAAATCCATAACTTTAAAGGTTTAAATAGGAATAGCTAATCGTAATTCGTCATTTATTAAGCTTTCATCTCTAGAATCTACGTCAGATATTAACAAGTTAATAGAATATATGTCAGATACTAACAGAATCTGTGTCATATATTAATAGAATCTATGTCAGATACCAACAGAATCTATGTCATATGTTAATGAGTTTTACTCTGATGTTCAACCTTTTGTACCCTTAAACTCATTAGGTAAGGCGAATATGGGTGATGATAATGCAGGCCACAGGGGAACAGTTATCTGATCATAATACCAAACATGGTTCATCTTAGTTAAGTTAGTTAGTTAGTTCATCTTAGTTTATTAACTTTATCAGACGATGTGTCCGTTTCACAGAGCCTATAAAGTTCGCTGTTTTCCACAATGAATTTTGAGAATTTGTCGGAGGTGCACATTCTATGGGTAATATACAGCTGTTTCACTATGGGATCAGCCTAACTGTTACTGTTGTAGAGCATTACAGATGCTACTACTTTATCTTACAACTTGATTTTAGTGTGTAGGAGTATTATGAGGCCTTGCAGCCAGCATTTCTTAAATTTATTAAATGCACGTGCAGCATGTCCAAGATTCAAAGATTGTAACGTTGTTGAATGAGAGCAATGATCTCCGTGATTCATTGGTTATTGGTTCTCCATGTATCAAGTTTTTCTACCAGTTAATTCTTTAGTATCAGCCAGACGAACATGAACAAACTTAGTTTTCAATTCATTCACAAACAAGTTCCACTCAGAAAAGATTTGCTTGATGGCAGGCAGCATGCTCTCGAGCTCTTTCATATCATCGCTCTTGTAGTCTACAATGTAGAGACTATATGATATGCGGACGATGTAGAGTCTGCACTCTGCATTGTCCTCAAATTGTTGGTTTAAAATTAACAGTTTGTATTGTCATTATTAGAAATTACGAAAAGATATGGCACCTCTCCTTTAACCGTAAATAACTTTCAAACGTCCGATTTTGTCGATTACTGCATATTTTAAGTTCAGTAAATTGACTCCATTTTACATTTAATCCCCTCTATAAATAATTAAATAACCTTATCTTTTGTAAATTTGCAATAAGTTCAGTTTGCTGCTGCCGCGTAGTTTACCTTTGCGTGTGTACTTGTACATTACTATACAAGTACACTATGGCGGATGACCCAACTTTGACCCGATCCCAGGAGTTGATTAAGGAGTTCAACTATGATTAACAGGAAGATGTGGAAGGCTGTGTTGCACGCTGGTCCATTCAGTTAGAAAAAGACCTGCATATTGACTACCGTGAAATTAACTACGAAAGTCGTGAAAAGATCAAGACTAAGGATAAACCAGAGTTGAAAAATACGTGAGATAATTTTTTAAATACGCCGTATTTTGCGTATTTTTGCTTAGAAATAGAATACGTCAAAAATACGTTAAAATACGTTTTTCTTGAAATTTCATTCAAAGACTAAAGTTATGTCATTCGTTTGCATTTTTTTCAGACACATTTCTATTTAACTTCAACGCTTTAATGCTTTGGTATAGACTATAGCACGTGCCCAGTACTCTGAAGTCATATGCGAGGTGAAAAACGACAGAGCTACGCGAGTTTTGATAACATCGTAAATTTATATAAAGCAATAGTACTTATTACTTTATTGGAGCTATCAATGGTACAATAACACTTTTTACGTATTTTATTCAACGAAAATAAAATACGCCGTATTTAACGTATTTTTGATATTTTATAAAATTCGTAAAATACGTATTTTTCAACTCTGGGATAAACTGACTCTGTCTGGCTGGATTGTGGATGCAGAGTAGTCAGATGTATCTCTTGAAGGAGATCATCGAGTGCTTCAAGACGGAAGCACTAGCAGACAAAGAAAAGGTGATCAGACTGCAGGGCCAGCTGCTGATGCAGAAGGACGAACAACTACAGTTGCTTAAGACGTCTGTTGAGGAGACAGTACAAACAACGGTGGAGTCTGGGATTCAGAACTATAGTGCAGCTGTTCAACAGAACAGTGCAAGTGGTACGGTCTGTAACAGTAAAATCCTGAAGAAGGTGATGAAGAGTGTGGCTGCAGAGGAGGACAGGAGCAAGAACCTGATCGTGTTTGGGCTGAAAGAAGAGGAGGAAGAACAGCTTCCAGCGCTAGTTACCGCAGTTTTGGAGGAGATCGGGGAGAAACCTCACTTCGAAGCGACTAGAGTCGGTTGGAAGAGGCCAGGTAGTACGGCTATCCGACCAGTCAAGATCACCGTCCCAAGCTCAACAGCGGTTCATCAGATTCTGATGAAAACAGAGAGACTGAGGGAGACGCACAAAGATGTATGGATATGTCCAGACAGATCCAGCGAAGAACGAGCAACAAGGAAGCATCTGGTCACTGACCTGAAGAAAAAGAGGGCTGAACAGACTCATCTCGACCACTACATCCGGTACGGGAAGGTATGTAGCCGTGATAAGAAGTCATCATGAGTTATTCATGTCTCTTGGACACTGATCAGTATATGAAGGAGTGATGATTATTTTAAGAATTTTCAGACGTTATCTGTATTTAAAAGACAACTATATATATTGAATATTTTATTATTTGATTGTTTCACACTTTTCATATTTCATAATTTTATTACTAGGTGGAGGTGATGTTATTGAGACTTTGGGCGGCCATAAAACTCCTGTTTTGAAAGTTGTCCTCTGTACTTGTTTCACTGACCCACGCTTTATAGCATTTATACATTTCGGCCCATTTTATATGTTTGTTCGATTTGCTGTACATTTGTATATTTGCTATTTTGTAAAAGTTTCAAATCAAATCAATTCAAATCAACGGTCTGCTAGCTAATCTTTTTTTTTTGGAAAACGAAATTAGATATATACAGAATAGTATTACAGGTTATATATTATGAAAATCATCATTGCAAAAATAAAACCCAGTCCATGGGACTGAAAAAATTAGTTGACTTTCGATTCGAAAGAGTTAAATTCTAAATCATCCATGTTAGATAATTCGTAAGTTTTGTTTGAGGTATTTCTTGATCCTCTAATACACAATAAAATTAATTTCCTAATTAAAAATGATAATTTACACCGATAATAATTTATAATATCGTTGTAATTCTGCTTCTTCTTATAAGCAAGTTTGTTGCAAAGCAGTTTCTCAAATGTCCTGGCTTGAGGTCCCATGCCACCCGTTACTGAATATATTAATGGAGCGAATGACCCGTGCTCTACATTAAGTATTCTCTCGTTGTAGCATCGTGTTTTCTGTCTCTCGGCGTTCTCCATTGTCTTCTTTGTCGAATGTTGAAGGTAGGAATTAGAATTAGGATTAATTACCTTAACATCGAAAAAAGCCACTTGGCCCGGCCTATAGAAACCTCGAGCTCTAATATCGGGTCTTGCCTGGTCACCCGTTAGTGTTGAGGACCTCTTGAACTGCTCTCCTTCTAGTTCTTGAAGCTGAGGTTCAACTTCCACGTCCGAGCAAACAGTGTTCAGCAGGCCAGCTAAAAAATCCCTAATTTCATTGTGTCTGATAAATATAATGATGTAGCCACCAAGATGGCAATTTAGCGAATGGTTCACATCAAACGTTTTTCCGCATGGACATTGTGATGGCAAACGATCCAGATCTAAGTTGTACCGCAATCTGATAGAATCCCTGAATTACGTTAGCTAATCTTTACGTTTATCCGCCAGCGCGGCTCCTTCATAAAACTAATTCCTGCGATCTGTAGGACGCCCATGCTCTATTTACTCCCAGTGGCTGCATATAAGAGCCGACTTCAACTGACACTGTCAGAAGTTTCAGTACTGATCAAATTATTTTTTTATAGACGTATAACGTCTACGGTCTATATATAATGTCCCTCACCGGTCACAAGGTTTTTGTAGATGGGAGTACAGTGGCGTAACGTTGCCTGCATGTTTGGCGCCCCCGCCGAAAAAGCGCCCCCCTGTTGGCGCCCCCTCCCCTTTTGGTGCGCCTCCCTAAAATTGAACAAAGTAGGTGATTTTAGAGGATACGCCGGTAAAATCTCTAAAAAAGTGTGTATCTAGAGCAAAACGCGCAGTTTTGCTAGTACTTTAGTTAAGTTTTCGAAATTGTCCCACATTCAAAAGACGATTTGGCGCCCCCCCCCCCTAAGACGCCCCCCCCCCCCCCCCGCACAGCGGGGTCAGCGGGGCCCTTCGTTACGCCACTGTGGGAGTAACCATCAACCATGGCAAAGTTCACCCGACTGTCAAATCGCTCAAGATACCACTACATACAGGCTAATAATATAACTAAAATACTAAATAATTTAAGTTCTCTTGCGCAAATCTTAAAATGCAGAGTTAATCTACTTTGAGGAGTTTAACTCGTTTTCTCGAACAGTGTACAAAAAGTTTGAATTGGCTACACTAAACATGCTGAAAAATATTTTCTCTGTTCGAGTTACATTTTTAACAAATTAATTTTTGTAACTTGTATTGGTGTGTAAAAAGTATTTAATGCTTTCAGTAGAACTGCATAACTTTTAATCTGACTCTCGATATACCACCATGATGACGGTCGGTAAAACCAGTTGAAATATAATGTCAAACATTAAAGATGTCCGAACCAATACCATATATGTCTTTTAACCCTTGAAAAATGTCCCTTATATAACGACTTCCCTGACCAGAACCACAATTCAAGATTATTATTATTTGCCGCGGTACTGCTGCTCCTATTTTTTATCTCCATATGCATAACCAGTTGACTACTTCCAAAGGAGGCTGAAAACAAAACAGTATTTCGCAATTAATGAGTCAATCAAATATTTGATTGCATCAAACCGCAGCAATTAATCACTTTTAAAATATACGCCGTAGTTGGTGGGTTAGCCGATTAAATCCTTCAAATTACTAGATCTTCTGAGGAAGGGATTACAGCATGCTGCTGCACTACACCATGTATTACATCAGTTATTAGTGCTCCTAGTCCCGTTAATGCATTCGCACTGCATTATGGCAAATCTTTATATTAATAATATTTTCGATCTGTTTTATCTCCGTAATTTAACGTATGATAAGAGAAACTACAATGAAGTTTTGATATTCAGTTATTTGTTTTAGGGAAAGATTAGACTTGGGCGTTGTTTTTAAAAACTATCCCTTGTTTAGAACTTTTATTAAATAATAATCGCAGCAGCATCACCATGGGAACGGCTGTGTGTCTCTCAACGAGTGATATGTTCGGAGCAATGCTTTTTGTCTTTGGAACCTTCATCAGTTTCTTCTCACTGACATTCTTCATTTCGAGACCTAAAATTGGGACAAACGAGTTCCTGTTTGTGTCTCAGGACACAATGAACGTTGTGATATGTCTCTATCTGGTAGGCTCGATCCCCAGTATCAGGGACACTTACCTCTACCACCTGGCGTATCAGTTCCATGATCCTATCTTGTATCTCTCCCTCTTTATTGCGTGTCTGATGTCAATATCTCGGATGATCCTCCTCATCTTCCCGTCCGCTCAGCCCCTCCTACGGATCAGATACCTCCTCGTTGGTATCTTCCTCTTTATTCTCATCCTCGCTCTGCCCTTCATGGTGCAGCCAGAATACTTCCTATCAGGACGAGTGACCAACCCTTTGTGGGCCACTTATCACAGTCTGATGGCTCTGCTGGTGGTGATTGTGGCTCTGGTTTGCAGCGGCATGATAGCTGGGACTCTGAAGTTTGGTACTAACCATGAAGTGGAACCTGCAGAGAAGATGACAACTGTAACGGTGCTGATACTCGCGTTTACCAAAGTCCTGTTCGTAGCTCCCTACTCTTTACTGTTCCTCGTCTCCTCTATAGTTGACTATCACCGGTCTAACCTCAGATTAGCCGGACAGGACAACTACAACGTGCCCGGCACTGACAATGCGCTCGTTAAATTCCTCGACATTTGGGTGAACTATGCCATGCCTATCAACTCGGTGATAAATGTGATAGTGTGTTTTGTGCGGATTAGAGAGCTGAGAATGTATGCGGTTAGGGTGATAAAGTTTCTGTATAAGCTGACCCACTGTGACTGTGAAATACAGAAGAAGGAGGTGGAGTCACTTGAGGCCACCCGGGCAACTGCTATCATAACACCACCTCCGTCTCCAAGTGCTCCTCAAGCTGTTACTCACGATACCACTACAGTCTGAAAAACAACCAGACTCTTACTAAAATGTGGAAAATAGTTTCATTACATTTTAGATTTGTTAGAATATGTTTTCAGAAAATTTAGGTTTCGATAAACAAAATTTCAAATAGGCTTTTATGTGAGTATGTAGACCACGTGGTCTGCGAGAATTTGTAATTGTATCTTATTAAACCAGCTGCATGTATCATGTTTTCATCGAAACATTTGTTCTCACTGTTCCAAATCATTTCCATCTTATACTAATACCCAGGACATAAATTATATTCATCAACATATAAAAATCATTTCCCTTTTAAGAATCTTATCTCTCTCTCTCTCTCTCTCTCTCTCTCTCTCTCTCTCTCTCTCTCTCTCTCTCTCTCTCTCTCTCTCTCTCTCTCTCTCTCTCTCTCTCTCTCTCTCTCTCTCTCTCTCTCTCTCTCTCTCTCTCTCTCTCTCTCTCTCTCTCTCTCTCTCTCTCTCTCTCTCTCTCTCTCTCTCTCTCTCTCTCTCTCTCTCTCTCTCTCTCTCTCTCTCGTCTGCAGCTCTTATTTCATTCTCTTACCTCAATCTTTATCTCATACGTTTCTATCTAAACTGCTCTTCAATTCTAAGTGTTTTCTTTTTCTAGACCTTATCTTTCCCGTATCACTATTATAACTCTTCCTCTAATTGCCACTAACATCTCTTTTTATCCGATCTCACTCCTCCTGCAGCTTGTTGCCTAAATCCTCTCTTTCTCAAAGATATCCCTTCTTAAAACTCACTATAATTGTCCTAACCTAAACCTTAAGCCCAATCTCTCTCGTGTGCTCTAACTCTTACCTCTCAGGACGTATACAAGCTAAAAGAGGAGTTATCAGTGCTCGAAGAGAGAGATAACAAACACGCTGATGTGCTCAAGGAAGCTGTTCTCAGGGCCGGTAAACTACTCCGCAAGGCACATGCTAGGGACAATCAACCCGTACATCTTAAAAGGTTCGTACTTTGTCTATTCTTCATTAGAATGATTTTGAACAATTTGAATGCTGTAATTCTTAATTCAATACTGTTTATTTTTAATATTCAATCTGTTTGAGGAGTTCTCAAACCATCTGTCAATAGTCGATCAGTGCCCTGATGTAAGCTCTAGAAAGTGGCCTATTGTTTCGATCTTGCACATCAAAACATAGAACCTTTGTGGATGTTTTGGGTCAAAAAGGAAATATTCAATCATGAGAAACGAGGATAGCCTATGTGAATGTCCATTTAGCCTATTCATAATCCAGAACTGTTTAAACCTCAGAACTCTCAAAATGGCATGCATCAGGTGGCTTTGTTTACTTCAAATCTCAGCGAATGTTTTCAAATATGACAGGGTTTCTGGAATATGATCAATGCCATAGCAATCATTAAATGGTTATATTGCGTTTAAATGCTCCAATGTTGCATTATTTAAGAATTACTTTGTTGTTACGTCTAACCTGCATCTTGCCATGCCGATTACTATTAATGTCCATCTCAGCTCTCAGTCCAATTCTACTGAAGTGCGGTTAGTTTAAGTTAGTCTGTCAATCGTTTGTTTAATCCAAAACTTTTAAAGTGCATCATTTTTGTAGACCGGCCTCTGAAGTCTGAAGCCTTATATTACCGTAAAAGGTGTCTAGGTTAATGGTAATTGTACCTGGTACCTCTTATTCTTAACTCCTGCCACACTACTACTATACTGTTCAGGGTTACCAGCTTACCAGGATTACCAGGATTACCAGGGTTACCACAGTTACCACAGTTACCACAGTTACCACAGTTACCACAGTTACCACAGTTACCACAGTTACCACACTCATCACACTTACCACACTTACCACAGTTACCACACTCACCACACTCACCACACTTACCATACTACTGCTCAGGGTTACCAGCTGTCCTGACCTAGACGTTCCCTTCCCTTCTGGTCCTAAGATAGAGCCCACCCAGAAGAGGAAGGTGAAGCAATGTTGGGGTAATAACCCTCCCTCCTGCCCCTCCTCTCCCACCAAACCAACCCCTCCTCCAACTAACGTGTGTCAGGTGTACACGGACTACGGGGACATAACTCTCTGTACCAGGGTGAGTTGGTGGCAATCTGCCAAGTTAGATATTTGATTACCTGTCTAAGTATCTGCCGATAACTATTGCCGATAACTATTGGTAGGCGATTAGGCAGGTCGAGTTCCATGCTGCCGACTATCGCTTTCAAGCCACTTAGCTAACTCAGGTCACTTAAAAGTTGACAACCGATAGCGCCTGTCTCCAAACCAAACCGTAAATTACGGCGTTGATTACCGTTGCATTACTATTACAGCTTTAACGCATTGGCACTTGAACCAGGCCAGTAGTTTTAACATTAGGTGACAAGCCTGACAAACCCGAAATGTATTAAATTTTGTTAAATCATACGGTTGAAGGTTGAACTCCGGTAGGTAAATTCTGCTGAAATACAACCATGCTTGTTGTAGAACTGGACAATAACATAACAAGCCCTAAACCCGGACCCACAAAATGGTAACCTAAACCACATTGCAGGAGCGAGAGAAGGTCCTGATAATGAAGGACCACGAGAAGGTGGCAGTAAAGTCTCTACGGGCCCCTCGTGATGAGAGCTACCTCCACCACACGCGCCCCTTCAGCCCCACTTGCACGTGCGAGCCTTGTCGACGTCTTACCGGAGGGACGGACACCAGCCGGCCTCAATCTGCCCGCAGTCTTACCCTCAGCTCTGATAAAAACACGGTATGTTTACCAAGGTACATACCACAGTACATAACACGGTATGTTTACCAAGGTACATACCACAGTACATAACACGGTATGTTTACCAAGGTACATACCAAGATACCGCAGTACATAACACGGTATGTTTACCAAGGTACATACCACAGTACATAACACGGTATGTTTACCAAGGTACATACCACACTACATAACACAGTATGTTTACCAAGGCGTGGAAATTAGCGAGGATTTTCTGGAATTTGCCTCTTTTCCGCCTAAAGGAAGATTGGAAATTAAAATGCAGGATAGGGTATCGGGATAGCAGACTTTAAAGTCGGTATGTGCCGATATCAAATTGAGGTGTTGAGGGCCGATAGTCAGAAAGTTCGATCCTTGTCAATATTACACGTGTTGGAATTTCTCTAATTACGATATTACAAACTTACAAATAGTTTTGAAGCCAAATATGATAATATTCAGAGTCCATATAAACGTGGAAAGGATTTCCAAATATCTCTATCTCCCTGCCTAACAACTTAACAAGGTCATAGTGAACATTACATAATGTATAAGATGACGTCTTTACAGGATTTTAGCTTCACGCTGAGCTGATTAACTCTAGTTGGGATGAGTTTAAACTAGTTAGACTAACAGTGTTATATATATTAACAGGACACTAAGATGACGTATTCACAGGACGGTAACACGACTCTTGTCCGACAGCGACTCTTGTCCGACAGAACTATTTCATTGTGTTTGAAGTGATATCTCAAATGTATTTACTTACAGGACACAGAAGACAGCTCCTTGCAGATCAAGGTAGGAGACAGGGTCCGATGTAGATCAGCTCGTCCGGGATACAATGAGTCCCGAGTGGTGGAGGGTATTGTTGAGTTTATTGGAAAGAGACGGGGTTATGGAAAGGGCCTCTTCGTCGGGGTCAACCTGGGAGTACCTCGTGAGTGTGACCTTATGTACTGTTATAAACTTTGTATTTATAGAAATCTTTTAAAGAGAGTGGATAAACTTTACTTTTAGAAAGTCTATGTAATGAATTGTGATTAACATTTCATATACAATGAAACCTCTATACCGGGCATCTTGGGGGAAACGAAAACTAAAAGTGTGCGGTTTGACTTTACCAAACTATACTGATTGGAGCACATATAACATTAACAATTGGTAACCAATAGTAACCACTAGTAACCACTAGTAACCACTAGTAACCACTAGTGACCCCTAGTAACCACTAGTAACCACTAGTAACCACTAGTAACCACTAGTAACCACTAGTAACCCTAGTTTTATTTTCAGTGGGTGACAACAATGGATGTATAGACGGTGAGAGGTTGTTCAGATGTGCACCTAAACACGGAGTTATTGTTCCTGTACACAATGTCCTCGCTTATTTCTCTCTCAAGGTAAAACCACAAATGTGACATGTCTGCAGTTCTACAGACGTCTTTTGCAGTTTTTTTGATGATTTAACAGTGTTTAGGGTAAGAATCAGACTTTCAACTTAGCCAAATGCCTGCTTAAATACTGGTTTAAAACATTTCAAATTTGATAACCCTTTAAAGTCTTCCTGACGGCGGAGTCTGGACCGTCATATATGGGTTGTCTGAAGCCGCAAACAGTCGTAAGACCTTTCAAAACCTTCTCGTGACTCACACCACTCATAATTTCTCAGGATTGGGCGACTCTTGTCCGAATCCAAAATTAGGTTTTTCGGACAAAAGTTGCTGTCGGATCTTACTATATACAGTATACGAATTTTTTGAAACTTTCTAGAAACTATAAGACAAATAATCTGTGCACGTTTGAACAAATGTCTGTGTGCCAAATTTGAGATATCACTTTAAACACAAGAAAATATGTCCAAATGGGTGGTTTGCAGTGGTACCAAGGCATATATCTCACACATCCACAACTCCTCAGAGTCAGTCGTTTGTGCCGCTGATCCTATCCGGGGTACAGGGAAGTAAGAAGAGAGGAACAGTGCGGTCCAAAAGACGCCCAAAATCAGCAAACAACACTCTAACCGCACACAACAACAACAAGAACCTGACTTTTAGCACTATTAGTGTGGATGAGCGCTTTGTCAGATCTCCTTATCTCCAGGTACCAGTAACAGATTAAAGTAACAGGTACCAGCCACCAGGTTACCATAGTAACAGGTTACCTAGTAACAGATCTTACTTTAGCTAGTTTATAGTTATTTTAGATATGCATATTGTTAAGTTTTTATATATTATCTTTATTTATTTTTAACTTTTTTTAATTTGTGGTGAGATATTATTGGAATACGGATTTTGGAGGCAAAGTTCGGGGTAGTATTTCTCTCTGTGGACGTTGATTAAATTTTAGTAAAATTTAAAGTAAAACTGTTTTTCTGCGATAAGGTAGAGTGAGTGAGAGAGAAAATGTCTGGGCGGAATTGCTAACAGTTTACGTTGAATTGTCAACAATTTAGGTTAAAATTGTCCTCTGTGGATATCAGTATTATAGGCTACAATTATCGACAATTTTGGCTTTGATTACCAAAAGTTTTAGTTAAATTTGTCAATAATTTGAGCAAATTCAAAAATAAGGAGTCACTGTGGCTAAGGGGTTGAGAAATGAGAAGGAGTCACTATGGCCAAGGGGTTGAGAAGTTTATACCTAAACCCACTTAGAAAACTAATTAACTTTGAATTTGGCCGAATATTCAGTAATATGAAGGTGGTATATGTAACTCATGAACAGCTTAAGTTTAACTTTTGTACGCATGCCAGATCTATGTGACTGATTTGGTCCATGTAGAGCCATGTAACAAAAACATCTAATAAGTAATATGTACTCAGTACTTCATAGGAATTAGGCGTCAACTCACCTACAAGTTTGTCGTCGTCACTTTAATTTCCAATCACGTGCCCTAGCGGCCTGACAGGTACGTTAATTAGTTTCATAGGTGGTTGGGCTCTTTAAAAACCTTTGCTGGTATTATAACAGTCAGTTATTAAAGTTAATATATTTTCAGAGCCTGATCGCAGTTGACCCCTACTCGCCAGACTTCAAAGCAGGCTACATCTCCAAACCACGGATATCCCGTCCCATCCCCCGCCAGAAGGCCAAGACTGTCAAGGTCTACTACAACTAGTCCTACTGAACCATGGACTTTTCAACAGGATTATCTATTTGCTTTAAAATGGAGCTTGAGAAAAATTTAATTAGAAAGCGCTGACGTGCGAGGAAGCCTGTTTGTTTGACTCAAGGCTTTAACCTAAACTTTTAACCGATGAGCTTGGAAACCCTTCAACTGAACGGCAACGCAATTAATAATAGCTTATCCGAACCTTTGAACGTCGGACGGTTAAAAGCGGATTCCATCTGTTTTATTTTCACATGTTTACTGAAAAAAACTAGATATTGCTCACACGGCGGAGATATGAGAATATGGAGACTGTTGAAAGCTGTGTGCTGTTAAAACTGTGTTCACGACAGTTCGTCAAGGTATTTTCTACCTGTAGTGTCTCCAGTTCTGGCGTGTTATCCCTCGATCCACCATTCTTTTTTCTTTACAGTTAGATTTTCTGTGGAGCGGGCTAGTATGACGTCTTCTGCGTTTTCCCTGTTGTGAATATATTCATTTCCCGGAAACATACTTAGCATAACTTTAACCTGACACTTTTGACTGAGTTGTAGAGATTCTGTTAGAAACGCACGTGGCTTGTCAGCACTCAGCGGAGCGAGCTTCCGCATCGCGCAGCTATATAATAAATAGCAGCGCGATATAGTATTAGTAGCATTACCCAACCATGTCAGATAGACTTTGTTCGACAGTTGTACGTGTGCAGTCCTGATGTTTTGTTTTTCCGACTTTGATTTGATTTGAAACTTTTCCAAGTACATGGAGATACGCAGTAGTGATACACGTTTTAAACAGAATTATTAACTTTTTGTATCAGTATATTAGACTATTAGAGGTAGACAATATGTATTTTTGTATGCTATATCGCATGTTCTCGTCGCTGTTTTGTGTTTGTGTTTATTGTAAATAAAAATCAGATATTTATTTTGAATACGTTTGAATACGCTTGTATCTATTGTATCTATTGTTGAATTCTGAGAGCCACGAAATTTACCATGTCTTCCGCTAGTAGTTCAGATAAATCCTCTAAAATGGTTCTCAGTTTATCGTGGTCTACGCCCCACTCAGTGTGCCCTCACCGATCAGGTTCGTGTTCACAAGTTCGATCATAACTAATAGATTTAATTAATATAAGATCACCCACAGTGAAATTAATCAGACCTCGTCTTCAGCTTGTGCCATCAAATAGCAAACAATCTAAAACTGGATTTGGGCTATTGCTCAGTGAACTTGTACTGCTTCCATAACTCAGTTAAATTGGTAATATTAATACTTAACACAAGATGGGAAATTTGTCCATTGGCCATATTTAGATAGTTTTGGACAACTTCAGTGCTAAATGTGTGACTAAATTCATTCTGGACGATTGCGTGGAATTTTGGAATACGCCCAAAAGCAATAAAATAATAAATCAATAAAAGGATAAATACCATTTGTACCTGGTCGCCTAATTTGTCAATTTCGGTTGAGTAGTTTTCCATTTTCTTGAGAATTTTATAACAGTACGGGACTAGCTAAAGATGGTGATTAAAATGACCAGTCCTGGGGCGAGGAAATTTATGGTGTTGTCTGCAAGATGGCAATGCAGCGAAATTGAAAGTTGGTATTTCTTGCACAACATTTGTAAAGATGTTCTTATTAAATTTGTTAATCTGTACCCAGCCATACCATATCGTCAAATAAATGTTTACAGCGTTAAATTGTCGAGCAGGACTACAAATATTGATTATAAGATTTAGCTCCTGCTGAAGTGCTGAAGTGCTGAAGTGCTTTCAATTTCTAAAAATTGAACATTGTTCTAAAATTTTTAATACATTTAACAAGCCTCTTTAATTAGTGGCTTCTAATTTTGGCAGATCTGGAGCGCTTCCCGGCTATAAATATTCGAAAATGTTTGATCAGCTGAAGATTTTGACAAATTCAATAAACAGTTTACTGGTTTCGTTGTATTGTCATTACGCTAATCGATCCTTGACCAAAAACTAAAACTTCAAGTTCATTTATTTTTATTCGCATGACATTTTAATATCCGACTATCCTGTCGTGTCTCAACATTTAATATAATGAGCAGTCCCCCTTAGCTTCTATTTTTATAGGCTCTAACATTTCAGATTCAAATCAATCAAAGTCAAAAGATGGATCAAAGAAAACTGGGTTATCCGGATTTAATGCAAATAATCGGGAAAACAGCAATGAAAGTACGTTTTTAAACGGCCCACCCTCTAATTAGTATAAAAGCATGTCATCTGCAGCATTAATAGACACAGAATAAATTTCGTCAGCATTTCTATTGATATAAAGCATAACCTTTAAATCGAACTCTTAATTTCGATCTTTCTTTCTGTAATTTACACATAAAAATCACATCATTAACTCGCTAATAAATCTGAAAGGTTGATCTTTCTGTGAATATGAGACTACAGCATCAGTTCTCACGGAATACTCGTGATCTATTCTATCGATGAAGAGTTGGGCTTACCGACAATCCTGATCACTATTTATCATTTAAGCATTTCGCTATAGCTTAACAGCCTTCCTCTGAGGTTCAGGCCCCAAACTTTACCTTCTGTTCTTTCGTCTCTTCATTGCTCGGCTAAGTTGACATTGACAATTTATACATTTAATGTCATAAGAAAGCAAATTATTCTACTCCTCTCCAGCATTCTAGCTTTATAACCGTATGAACTTGATTTTATGGAAACTAATTATTCGTATAATCGAATCTCTATGTTGAAAAATGAAATTCAGGAAAGTAAATTAAAACAACCACCTTACCTATAATATGCAATGCCAATATGCATAAGCATTTAATAACGGCTAAATTCTTCAGGAGTGACAGTTCGATCTAGTGGTTACACGTTTGACCCCAGGGATTATGGAGAAAGAAGGTCAAATCACTTCACCATGTTCAGAGCTGCCGTGTTCGACGAATCTTCATCCCAAATTGGTAAGTAACAGTGTAATTATGTAATTATAGTGTAATTACATGTGCATGTTTTTACCTAATAAAGGTTTTTATTTTTAGTCCCACGCTCATTTCTATTCTAAAAATGCTGTCAGAGGGAAACTAGTAAATATGTTAGATTACGCTGAACCGTTGTTGACAATATCAACGCTCGCGGCTGGTCTTAATAACAGCTATACCAATACTTGTAGTCAGTTTTGTTGGATTCTGAGAAAAGTTCTAAAGGCCCCGCTGCAACTCAGACAGAATGACCTTATTTAGAAATTTGACATTCTGTGAATCGGCTCCGAGCTGTTAACATTTGATGATATAAAGAGTTTTCCAGGCTAGACAAATGTTTTATGGCAGACTGAACATTTTAAACTCGTTTTTTGCTTCCCCACTGAAAATAAAGACCTTGTTGTCACGTTTCGGGTTGAAAATTATGAAATTGCTCTGGTGAAATAACTTGTGACGAAAGACAAAAAGTCAAAATGCGTCAACACTTTTATGATTTAAGAGCTTCCCACAGAGATATAATAATTTGAGTCAAGCCACCAGACCTGGCTACCTTAAACTGTGCTTTACTTTCAGACCTTTACCTTTGACCTGAACATGAGACTAAAATAAGAACATAGCCTTGTTTTGCGGGTGATCTAACACTGTTAAACTGTTTCGCACTTCCAGTTATTATGTGACATAATATACAAACTATACATATTTCATATCCACACATTATGTGACGTCACAATATTTGCAGGTTCCAACAGCGGGAACAAGTGGCAACCAGTCTCCGACCTGGAGTGGTGTCGGTTATTCGACAGGAATTGGCACAACAAGAGAATCACTATGTCGCACAGTGAGTCCTACATGATCGAGAGTAACGAGGGTAAACCTAAGATACAGAGAAAGGGACAAGGAAAGAAAGGAAGGGGCAGGCCCATGACTCGCCCTATCAAACAGGCCCCCACCAGGGATGCCGCTAGCAACGCCGACGACCGATGAATAATCAGGACAATTCAGAACTACCTCGTACTCGTGAGGTACCAATGAAACCAAACCAGGCTCTATGAGCTGATAAACTGAAATTCAACAGACGAACTTATCACTTCATCCAGGAATTGAGCTCGGAAACTGCTCTGAACTTTAAAGTCTAGAACTTTTTTAGTTAGACGTTTGCAATTGAGGACATTTTTTATCAGAGCGAGAAACTGCCAGGGTTCAAACATTTGGCGCATGAGGTTGCTTAGAGTTAGGTAACACACACGTGGGCTGCACGTTTTTGGGAGATTTGAGTAGAAATATAACCGGCTGTCGGTTGACAGTCGGCTATTAGCTGGTTAATAGCTGGTTAACAGCCAGCAGGTTGGCATTGTCCCTAATATTCCTATTTTTACGTTAATAGGGATAATATTATCCTGAATGTCAGAAATCCATAAAAGACAAAGTAACTGAGAGGGATATTAAGTGTTAAACAGTTCCGTCTCTTCTAAGAGTTCAGATGTGCACTATTCTCAATCAAAATATCTGTAGGTCTCTCTTGTGTTTCAGGTAAATTCTTTGCATATCTAAGTCTTTGGAAATTCAGAAATTATGAGTGCAGTTTTCAGAAATGAAAGAATTTGTATTGTGGTAAAATTTGAAGTTGCTTATGGTTAGTTCCAATCAAATAAAGCGAAAGAAGGATGTAGTTCTCTGTTATCTTAACCGCCAACTTCAAATTGTTCCACAATAGTTGCCGATCATACTCAAAATATGCTCCCTAGCAGTAGAAATTTGAATTACATGGCGATTTTCGTATATCTGTATGATAAAACGATTCAAGAATTTATATATTTTAGTATCCATTTTGTCATCGTTTATGTAAACGTTTTGAATACATGGTTAAAACTCAAAAGGCAAAAGGCCTGATTGTTAACTTATGCGAAGAAAATTGTCAGAAAAATCATTAATGCTAAATGCTAATTCTATAATTCTGTTAACATTATTGCTGATTATAATGCAGTTATGCATAGTATATTGCTAATTTGTGACAATTAACCTGTCATCGTTATTGTCGAAAACCCAGATTTGCATGGTATTTGAATCTTAATGTAAATTGTAGATAACGTTATAATTTAGAAGTTAATCACACCATCCCAATATTTTGTTTTCATTAGCAATTCAAATTAAAAAGTTGTGATCATGCTTCAAAGCTTCATTTTAGTATCCCTTTTTCACGCTTTCAAATAGCCGGCAGAATTGACAACTCCAGATTCTCCCTTATGCTTTCTCTTTCTCTTTCTCTTTCTCTTTCTCTTTCTCTTTCTCTTTCTCTTTCTCTTTCTCTTTCTCTTTCTCTTTCTCTTTCTCTTTCTCTTTCTCTTTCTCTTTCTCTTTCTCTTTCTCTTTCTCTTTCTCTTTCTCTTTCTCTTTCCTTGTCTTCTTTTCCTCTAGAATCAATAAAAGCTGGATAACTACCAACTTTCCTTTTGGGTATAAAGGGCAACGTTCTCAGACATGATATGATAGACTTCACAAATCTTCGAAAACTTGGAATAGTCAAACTGTAAATGAAAAAGTTTGACATAATATTCAGATGGGTAAGATACTCGGAGATTCTCTCAAACTGAATAAAAATCGGGTTCTCATCCTCAAAATGTGCCACATTTATCATGATCTTGTAGACAGTGTACGGTAGAGAAGAAACACAGTAAATAGATCCTGTTAAAACCACCGTTACCATTCCCTGCCACCGGACACTGCCTCCGATCCTCCGAGCCACCGTTCTGGATCTCGTCAAATATCGCAGTGTCAGCAGTGTTGTTGCTATTACCATTAGGGGAACACAACACAAAATATAGCTGACTACTCGGACAACATAATCCCATCCAGTTGGTACAGATCGAGAGTAATCTGTATCAAACTCGTAGCTAGTGTAGTCGAATATCAACGAATTTCTGTGGAGGATCAGGGATACGGTCGATATAAAAGTGAATGACAGCCAAACAATGCCACAAGTCACATGGGGCATGGGCTTAATTTTAGACCAACAGCGGGTTTGTATTGGATACTGCAGCATCGCGAGCTTGCTTGTTGTCATCAGACATACCAGTATGTTATTGATGGGAATAACAAATACCTCCACAAACTTATGGGCGTATGCTAGCCTATCCCCCAATATCCACCCATCTGTGATTATAGAAATAATGGTAGGTCCAACGTAGGTCACAGAAATTATCAAATCACAGGCAGCCATATGTTGGATAATTGCAACAATGACAACGTTGAGTTTAAATGCATGCTGTCTTGTTGAGGCCACTAATATGACAGTGTCCCCGAATATAGATGAAACTAGAACTATAATATAATAAGGTATCCAACCCAAAACGATTTCTCCACGCCATCTTTTATTCCATAAATTGTGACATCATTTGAGCCAATAACCATTTTCAGCAGGGCTTTTGAAAAAACATTTCAAAATTCTACAAAACGGTAAAATTTCTCACTAGAATTGCTCGATAGACTTAGTAGCCCAACTAGCGACATCAAATCAGGCATTTAAATAATTGCACAGGAAATCGTAGAGCGGATATCAATCAGGATATCGTAAACCCAGTAAGAATTCTACAAAATTAAATGGTTCAAAGCTTTTGCCAGCAACTGTATACAAGAAATGCCAGCTATAGTTCAATGACCACACGAGTAGTTAATATAGTTACCATAGTTACCATAGTTACCATGGTAACTGCATAGTTACGGAGGAGTGAATTCCTTATTAACAGGTTAAAACCATAATTACAACTGAGAGCAGTACAGACCGTGTTGTTAACAGGATGATACACCAGGTTTCAGTCAATGATGCTGCTGTTAAAGGATAGGTTAGAGTCCAGATGGCAGAGCAATTATAAAATATAAGAAAGACTTGATGACACAGGTAGGTAGGTGATGGTTATACTATATTCTCTGTCGTTGCTTGTGAACCACGGTGTCGAGTGACTTCTTTACTGTCTGAACCATCTATTTATCAATTTCATTCACAATATTTAGTTTTCATCACAATAAATAAAACTACGACGTACAATTAAAAGCTAAATGATAAGATATTGGAATGTTACATTGTCAAAATTAGAAAAGATAGAAGAAAGTAAGGAAGATAGCAGTAAGTCCGAAGGTAGCAGCGCTGGATCTGTCTGCCTCAAGGACACATTTATCACCGTCACACTTGACATACTTTCCGCATTTTGCTTTGACGTTGGAAACAATATCTTTTGTTTCTTCATCCTCGGCAAATGATTTGGTCAACCCTTCCTCCCATAAGTCACAGGTTGCGTCACTCATGTCAGCTTCAACATCTGTATCAGCAGGCAAGCAGACCATGGATTTTAAATCTATGGTACCGACTACTTTGATGACCGCACCTTCACCATCTTTAGTTGGCTCGCCTTTGTCATCGACCACAACCACGTCAGATGTAGCAGTCACAGAGTAATGGAAGCATGCTTCTCCTTCAGCGCAGGTTTTGACATCGCTCTTTGAAAAGGATTGATCTGAAGCAGTGATCATTGACATTAAGTTAGTTACCACCTCTTTTCCTTCAACAGTATTGGAGATTGAGAAGGCAGATATCTTTGAACCTCCATTGTAGCACTGTCCAGTAGCAGTTGCTGCCACAAAAAGGGCACAGAATATTGTCAGCTTCAACATGGTTATAATAAGCCTAGCTTGGATGAATGAGATGGTTAGAGTGAACAAAGTTGATAGTTAATGGTGTAAGTTAATTAATTAATTGAACCAGGTCATAATGTTTCCTCGGTGGGGGCCGATTATGCATTTCCTCTTACATCATGTAAATTTTAAAGTGGCATTAGGCATTAGCAATCAATTCATTTTGCACCCAATTGCGACACAAAATTCTATTGGATATCAAATAAAACTGTGGCTAATTTGAAAATGCCAAGTAAGCATAGTGTCAACTTGCAAAACTTGAATCGTACAGATCTTTCGTGTAGAACATGTACAAAAACCAACAAGTCGACCAATGAAGTAAACCTTTGCGTACAAGATATTTAAACCCCTGCAAACAAAAAGTGATCTAGACATGCAGTGAGAGTGAAACAAATCATCATGAAAGTGAAAGTGAAACCAACTCTACTTCACAACACTGTTTGTATAACTTTAGCTGGAAGGAAGTGCACGAGTCTCAGATTGAATAAACGCTGCACGTGACCGAGATATGTACCAACCCGCAGCCAAAAGAACTTGATGTTTGTTCAGACCTGCAAAATTTATTTCCTGGCTTATATATTATTAGTTCATAGATCTACCATCGCCCGGCACAATGGCTTAAACAACAACTCCCTGCACTTATTATGATACACGTGATAATTCATCACGTGACAACAGAGAAAGTGCAAGTTCACGCAGCTTGCTATCAAAACAATGCCCTGTTAAAACATTTCAATTGTTATTGATTTAGATACATCAACTTCATCCTGGTTGAGATAGATTTACATTATAAAAACTAGCGAAAGGCAAACTTTCTGGGAGACGGAAGTTGTAAAGTTATTATTGCTGAATTATTGTCTTATAGTTACTGAAAGTAGTACATGAAGCTGCGTTTAACTTATGTCACATGCACATCTGCACCAGACATTGTACAATTTTACAATACTCGACAATGAATCAAAAACTATTCGTTTTGGTGTAGCCTGGATAACCTTTGTAGTGGATACCTTCGGATTAAGAAACTGCAGCGTATACAAATTGGACTTATCGGCCGGCAGTCAGGGAACCAAACAAAAATGTAAAGTTTTACTTCTCGAAACCAAACTGACATTTTGTAGCAGACTGGCGTAGCGGGGCCGTCATGCTGCTGGAGTGCGATGGGATTCGGATTTATAAGTTAACTTGTTTTTTAATTTAAAATTTATTACGATTTCAACTAAATAAAATTTGACCGATGAGATCAATGAGACATCAGAAATATGGTATCAAAAGTAAAATAATATCATAAAATCAATAAATTGGACAGCACAAATTGAAAGATGAAAAATGGGGTACTACAAGTACGACCGGTCGTCAGATGACCATGTCGTTTGATCGGAATTGTTACATATTCTGAATGAGAAATAAAGATGCAGCTAAGTCGGGATTGTTCAGTATTTGTATCCGTAAACACCATCCCACTGGGGATCGTAGGGCTCCATCCAGAACTTTCTGAAGAGATGCACCAGCTCTGATCGTTCCAGTCGTCCACTCTTGTCAGTGTCAGCCTTCTCGAAGAAGGTATAAGCAGCCTCTTGGGGCACATCAAAGGCTTTCATCATGGTCTTGAGCTCTGCAATGTCGACGGTACCATCACCGTCATCATCCAGGACATCGTAGTAGGCGTTGGAGAGTAGGGCAATCATGGAGGGTTCGCCACGTCGTTCCCTTTCTCTCTCGGCCTCAGAGAAGACCCTGTTGGCCTCTACCCAGTCCTCTCGAGTCAGGCCCTTTACTGGATCTACTCCTTTGTTGAGGAAGAAAATGTGGACAGCCTCTCTCATCTTCTCGACCTGTTCGTCAGTAGCGTTGACCAACTGCCTCATCCTGTCGGGCCAGTAGAGGATCTCTTCCATCATCATCTTGCCGTCACTGTCGAGGTCGAAGGTGTCGAATCTCTTGTAGAGTCGTTGGAGCATCTTGGGGTGAACGTCCTCAACGTTGAACTGCCAGTCGTTTCCGACACTCCTCAGGTATTTGTAGCTCTCGTTGTTTAGCTCGTTCATGGGTCCAGGCATATCTTAAGACGCAATTGAATCTTCAGCTAAAGTAGAGAGGGATTAAGTGAATGGAAAAAAGTGCAGGAAGTGCTTTTCATAATAATATCTTGAATCAAATGCAGTGCATATCAGTAAATTAATTTGTCATCAAATATAAAATATCAGAAAATATTGAGCAATAGAAAAGCGGCAAAAAATTGTGAACCGATGAGATCAATGAGACATCAGAAATATGGTATCAGAAGTAAAATAATATCATAAAATCAATAAATTGGACAGCACAAATTGAAAGATGAAAAATGGGGTACTACAAGTACGACCGGTCGTCAGATGACCATGTCGTTTGATCGGAATTGTTACATATTCTGAATGAGAAATAAAGATGCAGCTAAGTCGGGATTGTTCAGTATTTGTATCCGTAAACACCATCCCACTGGGGATCGTAGGGCTCCATCCAGAACTTTCTGAAGAGATGCACCAGCTCTGATCGTTCCAGTCGTCCACTCTTGTCAGTGTCAGCCTTCTCGAAGAAGGTATAAGCAGCCTCTTGGGGCACATCAAAGGCTTTCATCATGGTCTTGAGCTCTGCAATGTCGACGGTACCATCACCGTCATCATCCAGGACATCGTAGTAGGCGTTGGAGAGTAGGGCAATCATGGAGGGTTCGCCACGTCGTTCCCTTTCTCTCTCGGCCTCAGAGAAGACCCTGTTGGCCTCTACCCAGTCCTCTCGAGTCAGGCCCTTTACTGGATCTACTCCTTTGTTGAGGAAGAAAATGTGGACAGCCTCTCTCATCTTCTCGACCTGTTCGTCAGTAGCGTTGACCAACTGCCTCATCCTGTCGGGCCAGTAGAGGATCTCTTCCATCATCATCTTGCCGTCACTGTCGAGGTCGAAGGTGTCGAATCTCTTGTAGAGTCGTTGGAGCATCTTGGGGTGAACGTCCTCAACGTTGAACTGCCAGTCGTTTCCGACACTCCTCAGGTATTTGTAGCTCTCGTTGTTTAGCTCGTTCATGGGTCCAGGCATATCTTAAGACGGAATTGAATCTTCAGCTAAAGCAAAGATGGATTAAACGGCGTTATCTAAAATTACTAAAAGCGAGTTTTTGCAAGATCTCAAATTTCTTATTTATTCAAAGAATCAAACACTAACAATCTATATTTACTGAAACTGACTTGACATTCACAAAATGGAAAACTGGAAGTGATACTTTGAAGAGAAAGTATATTTGCTTTTATACCCTGGTCACTGCTTTTTGTTAATGATAATCTCGTTAGGATAACATATCCATTAATTTCAAATTAATCATAATATCCTGGTACTCTTATTAATAACCGATTGATTATATATTATTCTTTTTATCGTAATTTGTTACGATCAATTAGTGACATTTGACTCAGGGTAATTAATTAGTATGATTAAACGTGAAACCCTGTATAGTGTAATGTAATCGATAATTAATGTGAATGTGATTATTTGAAAGGTCCAATATCTTTCAGTAAAGAAGAAATCATAGATCCTATAACTTACATCAGTGATCTAAATACGTAAAACCTACATTATTATGGTGGACTATCCTTATCACAAACTAGAATTAGAAAGGACGGTATAAACTCAATAGAATCATTAATACCGATGTGATCATTTGAAAGGTCCAATATCTTGATCAGAAATTTTGCCAAATTATAACGGGAATCATAAGTTAAGAAGAAATACTGTAACTTACTTTTGTGATCAAATTACATAAAATTAAAATTCTTGTTATATGGGAGAGTGCAGTTAAGCTACAGCCGGACACTTTAGTTTTCGGCTCCAGTCACTTCCAAGCTTACAAGCTTACAAATATTAATAAAATGTGCATCTTCTGAATAACTTGCACTCTTCAGATGATGGTCGTCACATGCAGTTATACTGTATACTCTACATTATTCCACTCAGACATGGGCACTGTATTGTGTAAATTATTTAGTTATATTTTATATTAGCGACAGGAGAAACGCCATTGTCGGACATGAGGATAGTGAGGACTCCTCAAAATACATTTTAATAAAATATGTTCCTTCTGTAACGTCCTGAATAAATATAGTTACGAAAACAGAATTTACTACATAATTGAATCCGCTCTTAATTTCATCAGTGTTTTATTTATTTATTTTCTTCTTTAAAAAGTATATGATACGAGTTCTTTCACGATAGGTTGCGAGCACTCAGCTAACTTCTCGTTTTTTCATATTAGCGACAAGAGAAATGCCATTGTTGGACGTGAGGAGACTCAATTAAATATATTCATTCCTTAAATATATTCCTGGATAAATACAGTTACGAAAATAATGCATCTTTATAATATTATCTCCATTGCATAGTAGCGGGGTAGTAAATACTGTGTTTCGTTTCGTTTCTTCTTCCATTGTTTCTTTATTCTTTTATTGTTTCTTAATTATTTTATTGTTTAAAGAGTTCCTAATTCTTTCTCTATGAGGTGTGCTGTTTAATTTATCTACAGTATAGCATCATTAGTATACAGCCCTAATGTAGTATTTACTAACTTATGTACTGAATTATCTAACACTTATTAAGTTGCTCGAAAGCGTTGGAGCGATGAACTGTTTGCAGAGAAATGCTTTTAAAATTGTTATGTTGTTTCTGTTGGTCAACATTATCTTTGCAGTTTTCTTGTATCCACTTTGGGATGACCAGAACAAAATGCAGACCAGAACTTGCAAAGAAACTTAAAAGAAGTAAATGATACCAGTGGAACATTAGTGCCATCTAATAGTGCCGCCATTTTGAAAGACGAGAAGAGCTCTCAAGTTGACCAAACTACCGGTGCGTTGAGAGAAGATTCAGATTTTTCTGATAATCAACTTCTTGTAGACGTTGCACCTGCACTATTCCGTATACAGTTTTCAAAGGAAGGCAAATGCCTTGGGGTGTCAAAAGCGAAAGACCCAGTTGTCAAATTCTGTAATCCACGAGAAAATGATGCTTTTGTGTTTATAAATGGAAAATTGATGTCGGAGGATCTCAGCTATTGTATTGGACTTGCAGTTGATCACACAAAAACGAGTGACAAATTATTGACTTTCACAGATTGTAATGTGGCGGTAAATATAGAATTAATCAATGATAAATTAGTGCAGATATCTGATATTGAATCTCAGGAAAGACTTTGTTTTTCAGCTTTAGAAACAAGTGAAGATTCTGGGTGGAAGCCAACAGATCGTCCTACTTGTGGTGTTAGGGTGGGTCTTATACGATGTCAGGGAACGGTATCATCTATCAAGCTGCTTGAAGAAACGTCTTTTATCAAAGATAGGGCAGCTCTTTTGCTTCCATTACCAGACACCTTGACTAACTCTTGTAATTTCACTGCTTGCGGAGTAAACAAGCGTGTACCTCCAGTTAGACTGTTGCAAGCTGATCAGATTGAGAGGTGTCAAAACCTCACTCGGTGTGTCACTGTGGTCACTAAAACTGCTAGGAGACCTCTGTTTGTCATAAGACTAGCCCACAGTTTGCGTAACCAGTTTAACTTGGACTTTCCAATGATAGTTATTGATGACGGACCCCACAGTTACTCTACAGAAATAATGAACGAAATTTCCAAGTTCTCAAATATGAAGTACATAATTACGGATTCGCCAGATCTTGGTATTGCTGAAGGGAGGACAATGGGTCTACAAATGGTTAAGACAAAGTATTTCTTGTTGTTGGATGATGATATGGTTGTTACTAATCGAACTGATATTACAAAGCTAGTGGAAATATTGGATACAACAGACACCTCTCTTGTTGGCGGGGGATTTGCAGGATTTGCAGGTTTTTTATGGTTTGACGTGTTAAAAGGTGTACCAACGCTTTTTCACTCCCGTGGATCGTGCAAAACTGTTAATCAAACTATACCAGGATTTCCTGATTGTTTACGATGTGAAATTATTACCAACACCTTCATGGCAAAAACTCAGGATGCAATTGCAGCAGGTGGATGGAGCAAAGAATTGAAGATTGTTGAACACAAAGATTTTTTCCTACGAATGAAGGCTGCAGAGAAGAAAGTTGTATACTGCCCAGCTTTCCGTGTGGTCAATGAACACACTTCAAAGGGTGTCGAGTTTGTGGGTGGATCTAAAAAAGTGTACAACAAGTTCAAATATTATGCATTAAGAACGGTTCGAGTTAATATAATGATGAGAAGGTTATGTAACCGGTGGAATATTGTACACGTGAAGTCAACAGTCAGAAAACCTGCCTGGATAAATAAAATTAAATGATATATTTTAAGGAAAACCGCGATTCAAAGTTTATTGTACTTATTTGTACTTACTCGTACTTGAAAAGGTCTCATCCTACTCTATGATGAGAAGTTCGTACGGTACGTACTTTTAAAAATGGCTGTACCGTACGTACTAATAAAATTGGTTATAAAGTGCGATAAATGGGGTTTCGATGGAAGTCTGACTTTCGTGACAGAATATAAATAACTTGAACACTTGAAATGGCGCTACGGGCACCTAAACTTATGTCGCCGCATTCTTATTTCCATCATAAAAATAGTATTTACTCTACACCAACTGGAACATTACCGCTTGAATCACGACACTGACGCCATGAAACTGCGAAACCCACATATTTATTGGAGGTTATATTTCTCAAACCAGAACAGTACCTGCTGAAGCAGTTAGCTGATATTGTTTTTGTTATCTTGAGCTCTTCTTTAATATGCGAAACAAATTTTAGAAACTATGAGTACATAATGGATAAAAAAAGACTCATACTCAAGCCTGAAATAGCCGAAAAACTAGTTTTTATTTATTGCAATAAAAGAATTAAAACCTGATTGTTCCTTTTTAACTTCTATTGAGTATAATTGCAGTTATTCAAATTGATTCATTGTCTTAAAAATTGTTTAATTCGACTTTAGCATTCACTGGCACCAAAATCGTGGTTTGAAATTTGCATATAATGCCTGCCAATTTTACAACAAAAATAAGGTCAAAATGGACACCCTTTTTTCAGAAAATGTTCGTAATGTAAACTGGTTGTACGGTACCTACGTACTAATAACTTTAAAAAAAAACCTTGTACCGTACATACTTTATGCCGGGCACGGTACATACTTCTCATCTTAGATCCTACTCCTTAAGAAACTCCTTATTCCAATGTATAAGACCAATGTACCCTGGCTAGTGTAGCTGATGCTTGTTGCTCTGCAGTTTCCATTATGATATTAACGAGTTAACGACACCTACCTTATCGGACCTTATTAGGACGGACATTAAATGAACGGACATTATTATGAACGGACATTAATATGAACGCTAGAAGGCATTCAAAACCATCAAAAATCCGTATTTTTTTATTTCTTTGACGTTTTTTATACCAGCTAATGATCTTTAAATACATTTTTTATGCAATAGCATATAATATAAGCGTCTTAATATACTCAATACTCAATATATTACATTGCAGCAGCCGACCGCAATACAGAACCTAGTTTTAAGTTCAACGTACAATTTTTATTTTTAAATTTTTTTGTTACGAAAACGTACTATTTATTGTTACTAAAACAATAGCATATGATATAAGAATCTTAATACTCAACACTCAATATATTACATTACAGCAGCCGACCGTAGTATAGAACCTTTTTAAGTTCAAAAATGTACAGGGTGGGCCAAAAGTCAGTACCCATACGTTGGCCTTTATAGCTCAGTCACTGAGTGCCCAATTTAAATACTTCTTTCTGGTATGACTTAGTACCACCACTGGTTCGAGGAATTTGTCAACTCGAAAAATATTCGCGTTCATTTTTTTCAAATGGAGGTTCATTTTTACATTTATTTGATAGTTTGGATAGTCGGATCAAGCTAAATGTTATTGAATTGTGTTTGGCCATTCGAATTACGTTTGTCCTGAAAGAATTAGAACTGTAGCTTCTCAGATGACCGAGATATGAAGCATAACGAGTTTATTCATTACGTGTGATCAGGTGATTGGTTTACCTAATCACGTGATAAGGTGCCCCC